AGGTGCTGACGTGGCGCCACCAGAGGCGAGGGGATACTTGAGGTAATCCGTATGTATGTAATCTATGTTCTGGTGGAGGTCCTTATGATCAGGGCGTTTACAACTGGGAGAAGCGCAAAGCGCCCCCAGCAGACTGCGTCCACCCGCCCACATGGTGTACCCAAAAACGAATCCGAAGAATTATTTTATCTTTCTTTTTCTTTCTCCTAATCGCCCACCTACCTTGAGCCGACTTTAGTATAGTCCCATGGCTTTGTCATGAAACACGCCTGGACCAGCACAGGTACCTGCCAGTTGATAAAGGTCACCTGAAGGCGGGATGAGAGGCCGCAGCAGTAGGTCGACAACGGCACTTGCAACTAAGCGCAGTAGCAACAGCAGCAGCAAAGGTGAGAAGGAAGGAAAGAAGGTAGGTTGTGCGAAGACCGGAAGGGTTGCATCGTGCATGCACAATTGATCGCTTGCGGGGCAGGAACAGAGCGAGGATATGCGAGAGGGTGCTTGATGACCCTCGCTGTCTCCGCCGCCGATCCTCATGCTGCTGAGTTCTTGAGCTCAACAACCAAGCTAGCGACACGCGTGCAGTACAGCTTCAGTGCCTCTAACAGGATTTATGCATTTTTCCAGCTACTCCGTGCGCAGGATTCAGGCAAAGGGATGCATGTCAACTTCGCACATGGTTACCGGTACGACATTGTAGTACGGTACGGCACGATTATGTTACGTACTGTAAGCTCGGCCGATTGTACGATGGAGCTGTTGGGTAGAAACCTGCGCGTGCCACGTGTGAGAGGACAAGCGATGAGTGACGGCGTTTGGATTGACTGGAAGGGCCAACCCATGGGCCTTGGGCCTCAACCCATGCAAGGTGATGCGTTACGGCAGGCAACGCTATGAGGAGCTGCATCTCAACTCCCCGAACTTCCATTATCATCCGGGTGTGCTTTCCGTTAGTGGTAATAGTCATAGTCAAGCCGGTTGAGGAATCTCAACAGCTCACTGTAAAACTAAGCATGCGGATCCGAATAACGTGTTATCTTTTCACTATGTCGTATTCTGGCACGCTGTAGCTGTCAGCTGATGGATGGCTTCATTGACGGGCTGCAATGCAACGGTAGCAGGCTTGGGGATCGTATGTGTCCATATCTACGCCCTTCATTGCTCGGCTGGCGCGGTATGTAGGATGGTTCGTTCGAGTGGCAAACAAATCATGATGGCTTCATTATAAGGGGTTTAAAAAAATGCCATGTTGGTACCGCGGGAAAGGCCACCCACATGTGGATGTTGGCGAAGCGTAGGAGCGTTCGGAATTTATCCTGGCTCCCATCGCCGAGTGCGTATGTGTAATCCGGGCCCGTAGATCCCCAAAAATACTGCAAATCAAAAAACGTTAACAGGCGAATTAGTCTCAAATTCGAGATCTGGCGACAAGTTCCCGACGCTAGCGGAACAGCACGCAAAACGGCAAAACCCGTTTTGCGGCGGCAGTTCAAAATCAGCAGTCAGGACCGATCCTCACCGTGATGCCATTCATGTTGTTCCATGTGTCTATGTACTGCGTTGTTATAGAAGTTTCATAACTTGCGTTGTAGTATGCACTCCAGCCGCTGGTATTGACGAGTGCTCGTCCATTCTGGAACCTAACAGTCGATTGCGCACTTGCCGCACCGGCAAAAAGCACAAGCGATAGAACGATGTACAGCATGGAATGACCTGAACCACCGGTGTACAGTATCAATCGGTTGAGTCGGTGCAGCGCGAGCGCAGCACAGCACAGTCGTTCCATCAACTCTACCTGTGAGCTATTCCGGCAGGATGGAAAAAATAATTGGGGCGTGCAATGAAACAATACTGCTTGATTATTTACAGATTTGGGCGAGACTGCCGGGAATGTTGAGGGGGCGTCCTAATGGTAGGGACTTATACCGGCTAACGAAGATTGTACATCCAAGATGTAAAGAGGGCATCGACGTAAGGCATATAATGGAGAAATACTGCAGAAATAGATCCGTATGCATCGTCCTTATAATGCGCGTCTGTGTGCGCCTTATGTGCACCTCGGAAACTGGAAGCGGGCTAGTACCTGTACTATACACCTTAATAATCACCCCTAGGTGCGGCATTTCCGATATTCTTTCGCGGGCTCAAAGCCAGATTGCATGAATCACGCATTGTGTTTGCAGCCAATCACTTAAAACTGTGCATCGGGCTCCTGTGACCTTCCTAATACCTGCATGCACCCTTCGTTTCCAAACCGTTTCAGTTTGATCCTGTCATTTATTTTCCTTTCGACTGGTTCCTCAAAGCTCTGCTCGTCCAACGGGTGCATCGCCCACGTCTTTTTTGGATATGCCCATCCTAAAATGCGCAATTGAAGCTACATGTATCGTTCTGCCGTGGCCATCTGTCTGACGTCAGCACATACAGTAGTAATGGGAATTGTTTCCTTGTCTCTTCCCAATCTGGTTTATTTACCTTGTTCATATTATGTGCATTTGACACACAACAGTCATAACCGGTCGGATAAGCCACTGCACTGCTACACGAATACCTTAGAAATCTGTGCACATGGATGGAGGCTGCAGCACAGTTGGATGCCAGCCCGCCCAATGCAACCCCGGCAAAGCCGCTAAGGACAGGACAGCTGGACATGTTGTTTCATTGCCGATTATAATTGGTCCATATAATCTAAAAATCGCAACATTGTCATCACCCAAAAGCGGGCGTGGCGCAGTGGTTAGCGCGTAGGTCTCATATCCCAGATATGACTTGGGTTATCCTAAGGTCGAGGGTTCGACACCCTCCGCCCGCATAGGAAGGCCGTCCTTTTAATATGGGTCAATTATTCTTACTGCTTATCTTAACAACTTCAGCTCTCTGCAACGCATGTTTATTACATAGTTCATCTTCCATACAAAACTGGTCGTTATATGCAGCTTAAAAAACATTGTCGTGGGAATCACGCAACGAAACGTTACAACCGTGTGCACGGATGGTAGAGGTTGCATATCAGCCGTCATTCTCCGGTACTTGTAGCCATCATACGTACTATGGCGTTTCTGCCATGCGAACTTGCCGGACTTATCTATCACGTTGGCGCAAGAACGCTACGGATGGAGCGGGAGCTTGGACCCTTGGGACGACAACTGCATGTGCCCATCCTTCACTACCTTAACGCTGCGCTTGACCGCGACTAGCTAGCTTATAAGGTAAAAGCGTGTTCCCCTTGAGCCTCACATTTGTCAATTACGTAGATATCGGCCAAACCCAATCTTTTCAACTGTGCCGTCGCTGGCCTGCAAACCCAGGCAACCGAAGCCTGCCGTAAACCTTGCAGAAGCAATGCAGGTGCACGAAAAGCGGCCACGCACAGCAGCCAAATAGGACACTTAAATCCCGACCAACCCCATGAACGACCCCGTCAACTGCGGACTCCACCCGCCCACCTATCGATTTGAATCCTCCGGCCTCGCCCGACTTCCGCCTCCTACCTTACCATGCTGCATTCGACGCTCATTCGCCCTTACGCACGTGCATACCGGTGCCCCTGCTTACGCGGGACACTGGTAAACAGACACACAACGCCCAGACACTCCACAATGCAGCCGGAGGAAACGACGCGCGCTAAAGAAAAAGCGCGTGCAGGCCCAGACCCCTTCCCTTCCCTGGCACCATCAGGACCCTCCTACATTTGCATCCCTACATGATACTGTACCGCCCGGCTGCAGGCGCGTCTCGCCGCATGACCTTCTCCGTGGTTTCCTCGATGATCTTTTTTATCTCCGCCTTGGCCTTCTTGACATGGCCCTCTGTGGGGCCCTCAATGAGTAGGAAGAGCTTCCGCTCGCCTGCGACAGATGCCGCCCGGGAAGGATGCAGGGACGGGTGCGTGAGGTGCACATTTACAGAAGGGGCTGGAGGCTTCAGCTAACAGCCAAACCCCAGACATGAGCACCAAGCTAACGCACTTAATGATCGCACACAACCCAGCCGCTACAAGGGTACCCACATGCTGCGTCGGATGATTTGCAGACAGCACATGCTGATGTTAAATTTTTTTACCAAGCACCGCACCCGCGGCTTTCCCAGTACGGCTTTCCCAGTAATAGCCTACATGCCGTTACCACCTTACAAAAGCGGAAGCATTCACAGCAGCAACATGGCATCGCCAGGAGAAGCTCATCGCAAAAATAATCTCTCTTGGCATATGCCCATTAGCTATCATGGCGTTCTTAGCACACTTCACCGACCGTTCTCCCACCGCTGTCTCACGAGAACTCAACATGTCCCGATTTGAGTTCCAGACCTCCCACTTACCTTCGGGGACAGGCCTGCCGGGCGCCACGTACGTCCCACGAACCGTCAGAGCTGCTCCCGTCAGCTCGTTGATTTGGTTCATAGTCTCGCGGTGCGTGATCTTCCAGCGGGCGTGCTGCGGGAAGTCGTTGATCTCAAGCTCCGCCTCGAAACCCGCTGTGGCCGGCGCCGCGACAGCGCCGGCGCGGCCGGCGGGCGCCCCCGCGGCGGCAGCACCCGGTAACGAAATGGTGCCGCCGAACTTGGCGGCGATGGCAGCCGCGCGGGCGAGCGCGTCGGCCGAGATGGCGGAGACACCAGCCCCAGCGGCAGTGGGCGCTGCGGCAGCGCCGGTAGCGACTCCAGCAGTGGCGGCCACGGCCTTGATGGAACAGGGCACGAGGGCACAAGGGAGGGCGGTGGGAGGTCAGGAGAAGCGTACAGGCGCTCTGTTGCAATGCCAGGGGAACCCTCCTTATCGTATGTAAAACGGAATGAGAAGAGGAGAATATGGATCCGATGCGACCGATTTCGTAATTGAAATACATGGAATTAAGAAGCGTGCGACACGTTCCCAGGGAGGGCCGAGCTACGCCTGCGATGACATCCCGATCCTATATGGGCAAACCGCGCAGGTGACCCCCCTGCCAGCTGCCCACCACCCAAGGGGCCCTACGTAACCCCCCACACACACATGTGCACTGGAAAGGCCTTCACACACGCGCACATACACACACGCAAATACGCACCGCGCAAATACACACACACGCAGATACACACACACGCAAACACACACATACGCACATACACACACGAACCATGGCGGTCGCATATGGAGCCCTTAGGCTCGTGGTGGTCGTGGTTATCGTCTGTACCCAGCTAAGCGCGCGTTGTATGAATGAGAGAACAAAGCAGCTGCGGGTGTTGCCAAATATGTAGTGCGCCTTCCCTACACGGCATGGTGGACGCCACGCTGTCTACTAAAAGGTACCGTGAACGCCGCTACTCACCACGCCAAAGCCACTTGGCGGGCCCAGCGAAAGCGTAGTTGCTGCCGACAAGGGCACTCCCGCCGTCACCTGTGCAGAAAGCTTGGCGGCTACTTGTTGAGCCGCCGCCAGCAACGGATTGGAAGCTGCCGCCGCAGCCGCAGCCGCAGCCGCGGCGGCGGCAGTCGGTGCTGCCGCCGCTGTCCCCGCCGCTGCCGCCCCCGACCCAACGAGAGCTGCGGCAGGCGCCGGAATGAGACCCGCCTTGGCCGCCTCAGCAAGCTTCTCCCGCGCCGCCGCGACGACAGCCGAAACTGAGTCCGCCGGGTTGATAGGGCCCCCCGCGGCGGCGGCGGCTGCAGCATTGGCCGCGGCCTTTGCAGCGGAGATAGGCCGGATGTCATCCTGTACGGCGAAGGAAAGTCGTGGCCGACGACGATCAGCGGGAAAAGATTATGTGTTCGGCGGCGTCATGCATGTTGGCCTGGCGATGGCCTGACACCTGACAGGATATGCCAATGCCAACCAGCCAGATATTGAATTGAACTGTTACAGAGTGGGAGGCTTCTGCGCCACTTGAAGACATAGATGCCAGCCAGATATGCTGCGTGTTGATCCCACGTCAAGACCAACGCGTCCCCTCCCCGGCAGAGGACCCTGTCCCGCGCACCGCTTCTAAGGCCGCTACCGCCGCATCCAACGCGGCCTCCTCGGCTTCCTCCTCGCCCTCCACTTCCAGCCCCATGGCCTTGGCCTTGGCCTTCTTGTCCACCCGGAAGCGCTCCTCCTCGTTCGTGTCGAACTTGAAGCCACTGCCGCCGTAACCGCTCCCATGGGCCTGTAGACACGAACGAAGCCGAGGAGCGGGACAGCACATGATTCGCTAAGTGCCTGTCACAAGGCGCCGCGCTGTCGCCAAAAAGAAAGAAATCCAGGCACTTGGATATGGCTTGAACGTACTCTGGAGTAAGTACCATTAAGGCAGGATGAACAGCCAGGAAATTAGGTAATCCCTTTTACATCCCTATGCAAGTGCGCTGATCGGAATCGCAGCTCCACCGCGACGATGCAAGAGGACGACGTAACCAGTGCAATGCAGCTGTCAGGCGAGGCGCACGCACCTTAACCAGGCCGGCCTTGTGTTTCGTGTGGAACGAGTCCGCCACCGCCTGGACGGTTGGGGGTTAGGCACAAGAGGCAGCGGGAGAGGGACGGCTGTTTCAAAGGAAATTTTACACACCAGGACTAAGCAAGCGACATTGGAAATAAGAGGAAACATTACCAAGTGTTATTCCTGTCGTCAGGGGGATGCCTTTGCCCTGTTCCCCGCTTTCCTTCTCCCGGAGTCGCCTCTCTTCCCGCCTCCACTCAAGCCCTTCATCGCTCCCTTAGCCGTTCGTCCCCCTCTCCCTCTCCCTCTCCCTCTCCCTGACCCACCTGGAGGTCCTGCGGAATCGCAGCACCGCTCTCCCGAAGCGCCTTCACCAGGTCCGGCGCGTAGCGCTCCTCGTCGGGCCCAATGAACGTAATGGCTGTGCCCTTGGCACCCGCACGTCCGGTGCGACCCACCCTGCATCGTTACATTGTTACCATTTCAAGTGCACACAAAACCGTTCTCAATCTCCGGGTGATGCAAAGAAAAGGTGTAACTATTGTAACCTATAAGGGTGAACCTAGCCAACACCGCCCAGCTCACACGCGCCACGGCACAGCACACAGCATGGCACCGCACCGCACCATATACCTACCGGTGCACGTAGTCCTCGTGGTGGTTGGGCACGTCGTAGTTGACGACCAGCACCAGGTCCTTAACGTCCAGTCCACGAGCGGCAATGGAAGTGGCAACCAGGATGTTGCACACGGCGCCCTTGAAGTCGGCAATGGTGGACTCCCGGTCGCTCTGGTCCTTGCCGCCATGGAGACTTAGACAGGGGTAGCCGTAGCGGAGCAGATCCCTGAAAAGAGCGGGGATATACACGGGCGCATGGGTGAGGAGTGTGCGCGCGTTCTTCCAGGAGCGCTAGGCAAGGAAGTCGCCGACTCGGGCATAAATGACCATCTGCGAAGTGGGTTAAGAGGGAGGCCTGCGGAAGCGGACTTTGAAAATCCGGGATCCAACAGGAGATGAGACCCTTGATTCCAGTAACGTAGTAACTCTGGGTACGGAACATTGCAGCGGGGATGCGGATATGGATGCGCGTGCGCACGCCTGTGGGTGTGCCATCGCGTGTGTGGGCTTATTAAGCGTGACGTGCACTCTAGGCGATCTGGGTAATCCTCTGCTCCTCTGCCGCCTCCTAATAGAGGAGAGAGGGGACCGGTGCGCACCTGAACAGGTTGTCACAGCTCTCTTGCTTGTCCACAAAGATGAGCAGCTTCCCACGCTCGTACCACTCGCCCAGGATCTCCAGCAGCCGGTGGAAGCGCTCCTTCTCCGGCCGTATCTCCACAAACTGGGTGATGTTCTCGTTGACAATGCTGCGACCGCCGACCTGAGGACACCCCGGGGCAACAGCAGCAGCAGCAGCAGCAGCAGGCAAGTGAGCAGGCAGGGCTTGTCAGCAGACAAGTGGCCAGACAGGTGGGCAGGAGGGGACTGAGTTCCTCACAGTGGTTTCATCGGCTTCAATCTACCGTAAGCTGTGTGGCCGCACGAAAGACTTAAGGACGGGAACTCACCGTAGGGCACTTGGCGCGGATAGAAAGTAGGGCAAGGCAGGACAAGGCTATGAATTTGCAGCTACGCGCATACACAGTGGTGCTTGTTCTGATTTGCTTAGCCTTGCCGCCATCTCACATACGGTTGCAGCAAAAGAGGGTGTGCATGTGCGTGCATGTGCGTGCACGTGCGCGCCACAGAGACTATGTTGGCTCCGTCTGCTGCCTGCCATGCATCCTTCTGGATCCGCATCTTTCGGATCTAGAAAGGCTTACCTGGATCTCCACTGGATCTGTGAGGATCTTACGCGCCAACACCTCCACCTGCCGGGGAAAGGTGGCGCTGAACATGACCGTCTGGCGGTCAGGCCGGATGTTCTGCGGGAACGGCGTGTGGGAACGCGGCCCAGACGGAGATCAGGCGGCGTTTAATAGCAGAAGGCAGACATTAAAAGCGTCAGAAATGTGAAACGTATAACATAAGACGCTTAATACGTTGTGAGGGGACTGGACGGTACCAACGTAGTACATGGTGTCCAAATGTCCAAGTCGAGAAACGCAAGGCAACAGCAGAAGCTTAGCAGGCCAACCGGCACTCGCGATGGCCCCCTTTCGTCAAACAAGCAGGGCAAAGCAGCCTGCCCGTGCCCTATGCTTTTCATGCCCTGTCCCTTCGACCGCACCTGGACGATGCGCGTGATCTGCGGTTCGAATCCCATGTCGAACATTCTGTCCGCCTCATCCAGCACGAGGTAAGTGACGCGGCGCAGGTTGGTAATCTTGCCGTTGGAAGTCACCAGCAAGTCAATCATGCGGCCAGGGGTGCAGGCCACGATCTCGACGCCGCGCTTCAGCTCAGAAATCTGGTTCGCCACGCCTGCGCTCACAGGAACGCGCACACAACAGCGTATAAAGCGTACACATATGGAGTGGGTGCTGCACGTGGGACGGCATCAGGAATATTGGCAGCAATATTATAGCGGATGAAACGGTAAGGACAGGCGACCAGCGCGGCTTCATTTTCGTTAGAAAGGCTGCGTTCATTGAACACGAAGGACGACAACGGTGGTGAGAGGTTGCTGCTCATGGCACTCCCAACCGCGCAATCCGCGTTCCCACCTGATCCTCCAAACACCGCCAACGCGTTGAGCCCCAGCGGCTTCCCAAATGCTTTGGCCTCCTTGGCGATCTGCGCCACCAACTCGCGAGTGGGGGCGATAACCAGCGACACCGGACCGTCACCCTGCGGCGATGACGACGACGTCAGTGAAACCGCGAAAAAGCCAGGATGGACAGGGCTCGATCAGAAAGGGATAGCAAGGATGGGATAAGCCCAGCCGTACACCGCTACACACTTTACTTCAGGTCCAACTTCTCACCGACCGATATGCAAAAACCAAATACCGTCAGCTGGCCGCGCATCTCCGCATAATCTCCTTTCCTGGTCTTAAGATATTCCACCCAAAGCCTCAGGTGGCTCGCTCGCGCTCGGGTCGGGAATTCAGCCTGGCTCCGGTTTGTAAGTCTGACCTTCCCCAGTCCCCAGGCCATACTCCCCTGCTCCCACGGACTCCATTCCGTCTCACAGCACACAGTGCCTACGAGAGCCAACCACCCCCCTCCTTACCCCCGCACACGAACCTGCTGCAAAGGCGGCTGGTCCTTTATGTGGCGCATCATGGGCAGCACAAACGCCATGGTCTTGCCCGAGCCGGTCTTCGCGATGCCAATGCAGTCTCGGCCAGACATGATAATGGGAAGCGCCTGCGCCTGGATGGGCAGCGGCCGATCGAAGCCGCGCTTCTTGAGCACCTCAAGAAGCCGGCTGGACAGGCCGGCCTGCGTCCAGGCGCGGACGGGCGCGGGGATATCCTTGCCGCGCACCTTGATGCCTGAGGGGAGGAGTAGTGGGTGGTGATGTGCGCGGGTGCATGGTGTGCATGTGTATTTGGTACGTGTGTGTTTCGCCGGGGCCGGGGGGTTGAGGCAGGTGAGCAGGCGCGCAGAGGTGCGCAGAGGCGGAATCGCAAGCAGGTTATGGGATCAAACATCACAGGTGTCCTTTACATGGGTATGCTGTCAGACGGAACGCTGCCATCCCCATCATGTCAACCCCATGCGTCCTTTGGGGTAATCGAGGGGGCCTACCCTTCTCCCTAGTGACGCCCGCTAGGCTTCAAAGCCTGCCTAACGCACGATCTGCCCACCTCCTTCCTCCCCAAACCCAGCCCCCAGCTCCCAGCTCCCAGCCTCCAGGCCCGTCGCCTATCACCGCACCACCGCAGTCCCCCGTGCCCGTGCCAAACTCGCCGACCCGACTCCGACGCCGAACCCTTCGGCCGCTCCAGAGGAGCCAGAGTGAAACCCACCGTCCATCTCTTTCCGCAGCTCTGCCCGTTCCGCGTCATTCAGCTTGGTGAGCTCTGCCACCTCGATGTAGAAGTTCTTGCGGAAAGGGGCGTAGTTGATGGTGGAGTGGTCCACGGCCACCAGTTTCTCGCCCTTGGACAGCTTACCGCTCGTCACTAGCCGCGCCCACTCCTGCATACGTGTGCAGCCAGGCGTGTAGGTAAGAGGCACATGGAAAGGCACGCGCACAAAGGCATCGTAATCAATTGTGGGTCAGCTCCTCTGCCTTCTCGGTATCATTTCGCTTACCATTCTTCGTGCCAACCCAAACAGGCCCGAAAGCGATGCTTCTGTTCGGATATATGCTGAAGCACATGCAGGCAACTAGCAGTGCAACGGCAAAGGCCGGGCAACTTCCCCCTCCCGCTCTCCTCCCTCCCACATCGCATCCACCACAAAGCACCATGTCCTCAACCCACCGCGTCGTCAATCTCCTCCTCGTCTTCCTCCTCCACGTCGCTCCCGTCACTGCTCTCCTCACTGCTGCTGTATCGCCGTCGCGAGATGGCGGCACGCGGCTTGCGCCGCTGTACGGAGCCGCCGCGCTGCGACACCAGGCCCCCACCCGCCGCAGCCGCGGCGCCGTTGGGCCTTGCCGAAGGCCCAGCCACAGGTGCCGGGGAAAGGCGGCTGCTGGGGCCTGGTATGTGCAGCCCCTCGGGCTCCAATTTCACCTGTCGGCCGATAGACAACAGGAAGGAAAGGCCCCAGGAGGGAAAGGCGTAAGGGAGGGAGGCGCCGGCGGGAGCGAAGGCGAATGAGGCAACAATGGTTAGAGTGTCTGATGGACGGAGCCGGGTGACAATGACAGTGTCGGAAGGGCGGCAGCGATGCGTCGGTGTAGTGGCCGTCTCATGACTCCTTGAGTGGGAGGTGCAATCGAAACATAGAGTGGGCAACCGCGCAGCTACCCCGGCTTTTGGAGAGAAGAGAAAGCTCGCCGTTGTAGATATTTACAGTACAGGTTGAAGGGGTGCTTTGTGGGAACTTACGCGTAGAATGTTTGCAAGATTTCTGGGCAACTCAATGGTACAGGACGGGGTTGCTCTGGAAGCCAAGTGGTATTGCTGTAGGTAGCACAACGGTGCGAGCAAAGTTAAAAATGACAGGGACGTGTTTGTTCACGCAAGGGGCCGATGCGCCTTGGGCTGCACGATGCCGTGGCAGGGCGAGCGGGGGCAGGCTGCTAAAAATCACGTAAAAAAAGTTGGGCAGCGGCAGCAGCAATGCCAGCAACTGGACTATACTACACAACTACCGAACCAAAACTCCCGCCGCCCGCACCCCCTCGTGCAATCCTCAAGCCGCGGCGAGGATGTGGCAAGCGCCTCGCGGCCCCGAGGGAACCCCGACGGCCGAGGCCCTTAGCATGCTGCTGCAGCTGTTGCTACTGCCGGTCAGTCATAACGCGCAGACCGCGGACAGCGGACCGTACGTAATATGTGCGATGACCGCCAATCCATTCGCGGCCGTTTCAGCCCCCGATCCTCACCCCACTCCGACCGTGGCGGGCGTGGGGAAGGTGAGGGGAAGTTCCATGCGGGGATTTGACCTGGCACAAGGCCCAGGCCACCGCCTCTGGCCACCGCTGGGGCCTGCAGCGAGGAGACGACGAGGGCAGCAAGGGCGGTCGGGGCGGCCAGCCTAGTGGCCTGTGGGTCCGTAGACTTCCGAGACCGCACCCCGTCCCCAACCACGCTGTGCGACCTCCAAAGCTTCTGGAGCGTCCATTCAGTCGGAGCCTACATACGACAGGCTACCGACCTGGCTACCAGTGTGTGTGTATATGTGTGTGTGTGCTGCAGCGCAATTCGCCCATGAACCTGCTTGCTAGGCCTTGCTAGAGATATATCCGCGTAACCCAGTCCGCCAACCGTTTCACTTTACGCGTATCACAAGCTGCTGACCTTTCAAATTACTGATTTCGCATTTGCGCCGCTTCGTAGCTAAAAGTTGACGCGACTTTTCTCGAAGTCTAGCACTTCTCTCGTACAGCGCTTATCTCTAGGCAGACGATCCCGGCTCCTAAGGCTTCATGAACAGACGCCACGGGACCCCTAAGCGCTGATCACTTTTTGATTGCTGCACATTCCATTCCAACGACCCACATTTCCCCCTTTGCCCGCTGATTGACAGCATCCCGGGTGCCAGGCCACCAGCACACTCACCTCCACCGAGCCCGCCATGCCGCCTTCCAACTCCATCTCCGCCGCGCCCGCCGGTACTGCCGACGGCGGCGTGGGCGACATCTCCCGCGACTCTGATGCCGCCCGGCGCTCCGCCTCCTGGGCTGCCAGCTTGTTCACCTCCGGCATCACCTCCGCCTCCATGAACGCATCCAGCGGATCGACTTCGTCGTCCGTTGGGGCCGCCGACGTGTCAGCTACGACATTTCCAGGAGCCAGGGGCCAGCAGGGGAAAATGGATGAATAGATTTATGGATGGATGGATGGATGGATGGATGGACAGGTGGATGGATGGATGGATGGATGGCGAACGGCTAAAGGAAAGAATACAGAAGCCATAGGGAGACATTATGGATAAACACGGAGGGGGGGAATATATGCAATATCCGAAGAAGGGGAACGACGAACAACGAAGCTGCTGCCAGGGCAACAGTGTAACAGACGTAGAACTGACCAAAAGGCGAAGAAGGGGAGGGAGGAGCACAGGGTATTGCACGGGACGCTGTGGACGACGGAGACCTCGAGCAGAGGCTCACCTGGGGCAACAGGCGCCCATTTCCGTCGTGGCTTGGGCGCCGCAACAGCAGCAGCAGCAGCCAATCCCGCTTCGCCGCCAATCCCTGGCGCCGTCGCCTTCCCATCCCCCGCCGACTCCTGCTTAACGTCCGGGGCTTCCGCAGCCAACGCCGACGCTTGCTGGGCAGCGCTGCCAGCTAGCCGCGCCGTACCCGCCGCAGCAATCACTAGGCCCTTCTTTTGAAACCCGCCAGCGTTGATAAACTTCCCGGCCAGAGGTTTCCCAGGCGTTGGCTTTGCCGGCATCGGTTTGGCTGGCATCGGCTTGCCAGAGGGCGGGCCCTTCGCTGACATACCAACCATGAACGCATCCAGCGGGTCGTCCTCGTCGTCGTCCTGTTCGCGTTTTATTGCTGCGGAGGGAAAACAACACACGGAACGTGGGGCATTCAGTTCGTGTGCCCGAGCGGTCGTCCAGAGGTTGGCGCTGGGAAGAGAATCTTGGCCCATTCCGTGTTCCCAGCATGACGAACCTTACAACTGTTGCGGTCCCCAGACCCGCTACCCTACTCCATTTTTAACTACATTCAGTCTTGCCACAAAAACCCAATGCACTGGCTGAGCCATGAAAAGGCGCAAACACGGGGTCGTGATAGCATGCATGCACGAAATCGAAACATGACCCCCAAGTCCCCCGAAAGTGGGCTTGGATCTGATGTGCCCCAGCGATGAGGCCCGGTCGTGTTGCTGGTGTATGGAAGCAGCCCCAGATGACGTGAGAAGCGCAACCGCCATACAAACGCCGGTTCCCCGGTACCGCCCCGGTGCGCCTGACCGCGCCTCAAGGGCCCATCAGCACCCCACCTGAGGGGGGTGGTAAGCGGCTGCCGACGCCGTCGTCAAGGTCCGCATCTGCGTCCGCGTCCTGCATGTCCTCCTCATCCTCGACGCCTCCGCCATCATCCTCATCATCGTCCTCCAGAGACCAGCCTTTCGGCTTTGCACCGACCCCGTCGGCCTCTGCTGCATCCCCGTCGCCCTCCGCGCCTGGCTCCCCGCCCCCTGCTGTGCCTGCGCCCGTCGCGTCCTGCTCACCCCCAGCAGCAGCCTGCTGTTGCTGCTGCGCCTGCTCCGCACCCCCCTGTTGGGCAACAAAACCATGGAGCAGGACAAGGCGAGTAGGACAGAATCACAACCCAGCCAGGCAGAAAAGTTTGGTCCGGTGCGGGCATAAGAGGCTGCGGTTCGATGGTTAGAAAGCAGCGACACGCGTGCACAGTATGCAAACAAATGACAGACTAAGCACTGCTTGGCTACTGTACTTAAGTTGCTTGGAAGTTTAGCGGCGACATGCCAAGGAGAGACGTGGAAGGTGTATCATGGGGCGACGCTTTCACCCCGTGCTGGTGGGTTAGCCTGGGTAGCCTGGGTTGCCTGCAGGCGATTTGGAACCCATGGCGTTCATCATCACGCAAGAGGCCACCACGGAGACTAACTGGCACGGGTGTCGTAGCCACAAGTGTTGCGCACACCTGCTCGGCAAGTCGCTTTTTCCGCCACTCCTCCACCGCCTTGCGACGCCGCTCGACCTGGGCTTCCAACGCCGCCGCCTCCGCATCGCGCCGCTGCTGCGCCGCTTCCTGCAGGACCAATAAAACAACAAGAAACGAGAGAACGACAACGGCCATCAGCGGCCGCAAGGAAGGAGGTTGCCTTCGGGGTCTTCAATGGCTGAGTGCGAATCCAGCAACCATCCGTCAACCATCCCGGGATCCCAGCCATCTGGGTTCGACGAGGAACGGTGGGGCATGCATGTGGCGCCTGGAACTTACCAGCAGCGGCCATCAAGGTAGGCGTTTTCGCTGACACACGACGTGTAAGCTCCTCAGCAAGCAAGCATGCGTGCACGGGCACGCTGTCGCAGTATACGACAGCATGATGCACTGACCCAGATGGCAAGTTGAAATTTACCCCACACCCCAGGCGCTCACCTCAGCTGTCAGGCCCGGCGTTGCACCCGCAGCAGCTGTCTCCGCGGTCATGCCGAGGGCTACAGCTACATCACCGGTCAGGCCCTGAGGCTCCTCGCGTTTGCTGCGCTTTGAGGTGGCAGGCTCCCCGCTGGCGTCTCCAGGCTCATCACGGCCTCGCCGTTCGCCGACCCGGTCTCTATCCCTGTCCCTCTCCCTCTCCTTATCCTTGTCTCTGTCACGCTCCCGTTCCCGTTCTCGTTCTCTATCCCGTTCCCGGTCACGTTCTCGTTCCCGCTCCCGCTCTCTGTCTCGCTCCCGGTCCCGGTCCCGGTGGTCGTCGCGGCCGTAATCACGGTACCGATCCCTGCGTGCAAATGTATCCACAAGGTGTTATGAAGGGCGTCCAAACTTGTCATGCCCAGGCCCAGCCGTTTCCGCGCGTGCGTGCACGCAAGAAAGATGCACAGACAGCCGCACCTGTCACGGCTTTCAGGACCGTGCTTGTCTCGAGCGGACCAGTTATAATCCTCGCGCGGCCGTTCCCGCCGGTCGTCGCGATCCTGCGGCCAAGGGGATAGACTTAGCACAGGAGCGGCGCCATGCAATGTGCTCCGGGCCCGAACCCACCGTCGGCGAGCGCTCCCGGTGCCCGCGATCATAATCACGGTCATTCTCCCGCTTGTATTTTTTATCCTTCTTCTCCTTCTTGTCTTTATGTTCCTTGTGCTTCTTCCGGGAAGGTGACCGCGATTTGTCTCTTCCCTGCACGCAGAGCAAATCCCCCACGCACCATAGGTCAGATCTCCTAGACGGCATCCAGTGAAAGTATAGCAGCTCCTTGCGGAGGATGCGGCCGTCTTACCATTTCGGGCTTCGCCCGAATCCCAGGTAGGACTTGACGTCTTTAGATACGTAATTGAAAAATCTCTCCCAATAAAATTCGGGCTTCTTTCCAAATGGGGAGATGCGTTTTGCGCGTTAAGGTCCACTTCTACTCCAGAGCTCTGAACTTTGTATATGTCCAATCCGCGTCCGTGCAGAGCTAAGATATACTGCAAATTACAATTTCAACAAATTTAGTCGAGGATATTGTCAAAGGCACGTGCGTTGCACGGCGCAGCTGTGACACCGTTTGTCTGAAGACTTGACATCAAGTAGAAAAACGGGAACAAGGAACAAAACTTCAGCGTCCAGAGCCGGTGAAATTCGCTTGTATATACATGCGCCGGTTAATCCTGTGTTTCATGTTTTACGGCAGCCGGCCTTTAAGCACAAACATCAATCGTGCTTGCAAACAGGCTCGCAGTTCACCCTTGCGTAAAGGTTTCAGAGCACTGGTAGGAAGGCCTGTGGATGGGCCAAACGCAGGTAACCTGCTATGGGTCAGTCGTTCGGTGCCCATAGGCTGCCTTGCTCGTGTGCTCTTGCCTCAGCAAAAAGGGGAACTGATGGGTACAGGGAATAAGGGGAGGGGTGATCAGGATGTTCTTATGGCCGATATATATTGACAAGCTCGATCCCAGAGCGTTACCCGTACTCAATACACCGAAGAGCCATATCCAGGCAAGCATAGCAGCCAAACGCCTCTTGTCTAAATACTCACCGCTGTTACTGGAGGACTGAATACACGACCGTTGCGACCGTTGATTAGCCTTATTTTTCGACGTACTGCACGTACGAACTGCAACGGTCTTAACCTTTGCTCGTCCATTGTCACGGCCAATTCATGAATTGAGCAAACCCTTTGTGAATAGCCAAGGCAAAGCCAATAACCCTACGCACCTCACAAAAGAAGGGACGCACTCTGCGCTCGGGACAAGCAGTGGGGAATCATTACGAGCATGATGTATGACAGCATCCATTGCGCAAGTAAAGGTCAGGATACCTCGCGCTGGAAGCAAAGTCCTCCAGTCACAAACTGTCGCCAACGGTGTTTCATATAGCTGGTCGGCAGATGGAAGCGACAAGTCTCTCTACCCCTTCCCTACCTTCATCCCTCCCTCCATCCCTCCCTCCATAAATACATCCCTCCCTCTTTGCATCCCTCCCTTCATATATCCTCCCCATATCCCTCCATCCCTCCCTCCTTCCATGCATCCGAGAGAAAGCTTAAAAATCAAATCCTGAAAGGCAAGGTCTTCCGTTGCAGCCATGCCGACATACTAAGTATAGTTACAAACAGCAATGGATTCAAGCTGCTTAATATAGCTGTAATTTCTTTAAGATAAGAGCAATCTTTCAAAGCAAGAGCAGGCGCACGAGCAGGCGCACGAGCAGGCGCAATGACATTTGTTTCCTTGCATGGGATGGATGCGGAGCGAGCCTGCCGCGTCATCCTGTCTGCTCAGCGGTTCGTTGGAAGCCGGCTGTTTAATTTCAAGGTTCCCTAGGCATGAGCCAAGTGCTGCAGCACAAAGTACGGTTAACGCAACCCTTACCGTGCTCCTCCAGACGCAAGATACATCCCGGCTGTCCTCTGTACAAAAATATATTAATTATCGTCCATAAGGACACGCGACCGCCAAGGTCCACCAACAGAAATACCTGACGAGGGGAGTTTTAGCCCTGTCTCTCAGCTCGACTCAACTCTGCACAGCTCAACAGGTCTACCCCAACCCAGAGATTCAACGGCTCCCCTTCCAACCCCAACCTGCTCAAGAAGATATACCGGCTGCTACTTTATAGCCATTGGCAGCACGCTGAAGGCCCGACATCGAACAACTCTAAGCCATCGAACAACTCTAAGCCATCGAACAACTCTAAGCCATCGAACAACTCTAAGCCATCGAACAACTCTAAGCCATCGAACAACTCTAAGCCCCATAAACCCAGCAAAAACCATTTATCCCCATTACTGATTCCTGTTTTCCAACTTAATGCTGTGATGCTGTGATGCTTATCCCCACCACAGCTGCCGAAGGAGGTAGTGGCTGAGCGCCGCAGGTCCGCAACCATTGTCAGGGTTAGCATGCGGCCGTGAGCAACCCGTGAGCAACCCGAACGGGGAACGCAACACAAATACCCGGTCCTTCAACCTCTGCTGTCTATTCTCGTGGCCCAACCTTTTGCATGTATGCACACATAAAAGGTTGCGAAAAAGGTTGCCAACACCAAAGAGCTCTGCACACTATCAACAGTCTAAAACACACAGCCCCCCGCCCTCCCCGCCCTCCCCCCCATGACGTAGATGCAACAACGTTGCACCAGTTGGACAAAGGAATGGGTTCAAGGTGACAATGCCACCTTCGCGTCTCCTCCCTACACCTTGCGGCCGTACCATCGCCTGCTGTGCTCGTCCACCCGTAGCAGGTAGTACGAACCCGCCGCCACGTCCGCCACGTCTCCACGGGGCTCGTACGGCACGGGACATGCGTACGACGCGACTACCTGCGCCGAAACCGCATCAAACACTTCCAACGGGCGCCGCACTCGGGCGCGCAAGCGCTCACCTAGATCCAGCACACCCTGAATGGACTCGAGGGTGAACCGTGGGTCGCTCGGACCGCAGCTGCCATCGCCATGGCCAGTGCCCTCGATGCTCTCCACCTGCCTTCCACCGCCGCTGCAGCCGCCACTGCCGCGTGACACCAAGCTAAATAGGGAGGCGATGGTTCCGGAGCCGAAGGAAAAGAGCAGCAGTCGGCGCCCAGCTAGTTGGGCCCCCTGCCGCCACACCAAACTGGCCAGGCCTTGCCACACGGAGGCCGTGTAGGAGTTGCCCACCTGCGCCATACATACCGGAGTCAGGACGTGCCATGCACCACCGTCGCAAACATTCACAAGCATTCAGGACAAAGCATTGGAGGTGCATTCCCGAATGTAAGCTCGCCCTCTCCGGGCTACGAGAGAAGCTAACGATATAACCTTGCCTGCCTGCCTGCCTGCCAGCCGGCCGGGCAGGCAGGCAGCCAGGCAGCCGTCAAAAGGGACCGAGCAACACCTCGTCCGCATCTGCACCACCCGCGCCACCCGCACCTGCTTCTGCAGCCAGGAGCCGTCCTCCGCCTTCTCACGCCACTCCAACGTCGTCCCAGCCACCAGCTGTGCCTCCAGCTCCTTGTCCTCCAGCCGCCACGTGGCATACGACTCGTACGACGACAAACCTGCCGCCGCTGCCGCAACACCCACCGCGGCGATGTCGGTCGCGCTGTTGTCGTCGCCTGCGCCGCCGGCCGCCGCATTTCGCTGCTTGGCTGACATAAACGCCGAGGGCGGCGAGGAGCTGGTTTTGGCGACCATCTCCGTTGCGGCGGTGGCGGCGGAACTGTCGGCAAGCGCTCTCCTTAGGCCAACCAACCCTGACGGCGCAGCGGATCCCGTGGCAGGGTCCGCTGCGGGTGCCGCTGGTGCTGCTGATCCGAAGTCTGAGGGTCCCTGGGGCGCGAGGTCGGCGGCGGTACCGTGGCCGCTGCGCATGTCGGTCAGATTCTGGTGGGGGTGCAGGCGAAGGGTGGGGCTGGTCCCATCCGGATGGGGGCCAGCTGTCGCCGCCGCCTTGGCTTTCACATCCGCAATGCCATTACCATCATGAACATTGGCAGGTGACAGCGCCGACCGCCCCTGGCCCTGCCCCTGCCGACTAGCCCCTTCCCCTCCCTGCTGGTGCTGGTGCTGCTGCTGCGGCTGCGACGTTTTTTGCTTCTGCTCCTGAACCCACTCCCGAACCCATTCGTGATCTCCCGCTCCCTGCCCCGTCTCCTGGTTCCCGTCCTGCTGCTGTAGACTGCTTCCGGGTACACGGCAGTTTTTGCAGGCGCTGCTATAGGCCCCGCCACCACCACCACCACCACCTTCACCACTACTACGACTACTACGATCCGCTGCCTCCTCCCCTTCCTCCAGCTTCTGCTGAAGTTTCCTGCTATCCGGTGTCCCATCGGCCCCCACTGCTCTAGCTCCTATTCCTGGTGCCTTTGAGGAGTGCGCCTGCAGCCCCGCCCTTGCCGCCTCCAGCCCTGCCCCCGCCGTGGGGACTACTGCCGCCGCCGCCGCCGCCGCTGCAGCAGTAGCCGCGTGTATCGTCGCCCCTCCGCCACCGCGGCAAATGGCATCCATCAACGCCAGTCGAGCCAGTCCCTTTCTTGCCAGCTTGCTGAAGGGCGCATGAGCTACGAAGTGGTGCACCTGGCGCAGCAGCCCTGAGGGGTGTGGAAGGAAGGCGTTACACAAAATGCGTATCGACACACGGACAGACAGACAGACAGACGATGGCACATGGCACGTAATGTGTCCGGCGACCCTACGCCAAACGAGCCGATCTCGCTGGCTTCGCACACTCAAGACCGAAACGAGAGCACCTTCAAAACATAGAGACTTATATTCACACGAACACACCTTCTTCCGGCGCCAGCTCTCCTGCCCGCTGCACTCTGTCCAACAGCCGCATGCCGCACATCCCCATGGCCCGCAGATATTGCACCAGCGTCCGAGGACCGTCCACGGCGGGGTACGGCAGTGTGCCCAATGGCTTGTAGAAGTCCCAGGAGTGTTCCGCATGGCTGCCGTACCACAACGGATCCAGCACCAGCGGCGCGTCAGGGCCCACGAGGATCGCGGCGGCGCCGCAGCCACCTGTTGATAGGTCGGAGAAGTAGCCGACCCGTGGGTCGGACTGATGGTTGGATGGATGCCACACACTTAACAGCAAGCACACAACGCCACACATAGCACATAGCAATATTAGCACCGGAGCATTAACAGCAATGGAGACGATTTCCGGTTTTCCGTCTCCCGAAGTGTGTGTGTGTGTGTGTGCGAAGAAGGATGGTCCACACCCCTCAACCCCCACAATATTAACGAGTGCCCACCCAGCAGCAAGCAACCCGCGAACCCACCGACCCGTCGGTCTCGCTGGCGTGCCCGGTGCGTACAGCGCTACATCCGCCGCCACCACCAGTGCCAGACGCCCGTCCCAGCGCCGGCTCTCCACCCAGTCCACCGCCGCCAACAGAGCTGCCGTACCGCCATAGCAGGCATGCACGCAGTCGACGCCCTCTGCGGGAGGACCTCCGCCCACAGCCCGCCGCCAGCTGCCGTTGCTACTGCTGTTGCTACTGCTGTTGCTGTTTTCGCTGATTGGTGCATGCTGGTGCTGCTTGTGTTGTCCTAGTTGCCGGTATTGTTCTAGTTGTTGTTGTTGTTGTTGTTGTTGCTGTTGCTGAGGGTGATAGTAGTGGTGTGAATTTGGATGATGCGGATGTTGTTGTTGTTGGCAATGTTGGCATTGTTGTTGTTCTCCTGCGCTGTCGTCATTGGCGTCAGTGGTAAACAGGGTCATGAGGTGGGATTTGATGCTCTTACTGCGATCGACTGCCGACTCAGTGGCGACCTGTACGGGGTCGGCGGGGTGAACGGCCGTGTCATACACATACACATATACATCTCACATGCACCACCCACACGCCATGCACCCGAAGGAGGAGGAGGCGGAAGAGGAAAAACACGGCGCCGGTGCGAAAGGCGCACGCAGGGCGCCCTCCACGCACACCACCACACAACGAGCGATGGGCCCATGCATGCATGCGTATACTGTTTTAACGCGACGGCGGAGAGGCTTGGCCATGGGCTGCTATTGCACACCCCAAAAATTTCCTACACGTCAAATATTCCAAAAATTCTGCACGAAATCAATTTTCTTAGAAAACCAAATCCCACCTCCATCCCTCTTTCTCCCCTCTCTTCCCTCCCCTCTCTTCCCTCCCCTCCCCTCCCCTCCCCTCCCCTCCCCTCCCCTCCCCTCCCCTCCCCTCCCCTCCCCTCTCTCTCCTTCCCCCCCATCGAGGCATCCAGCCTCTTCCTCACTTGCAAGTGCCCCACTTCCGCAGGCCGCACACGGTACTTGTCCATCAGTGACTTCGCCACCGTGAGCGCCATGGACACCACATCCTCGCGGTCGCTGCAGAACGACATAGCTTCCTGAAGGTGCAGGCGTGCACGTGAAGGTGCAGGCGTGCACGTGCGGGAAATGATAATCACCTTCGTGATATTATTCAGGAGGTGAGAAATACATGGGAGCGGCAAAGTCAAGGAAACCACTGCCACGACGTACAAATTTTGCAAACTGCTGACTGAGTCAATGCGGGGAATGTGGAGGGTGGGAAAGTGCCTGCGAGGAGGGCATGGGCAGGGGGTGGGATGGGATGGGATGAGAAGGATGATGCATGGGAAAGTAGCGTGCAGCGAAGAAGGGAAGGGCGGCGGTGGTGCAATGAGGCCATTGGTAGGAGAATGGAGACAGGGGAGTACTTTTTGTTGCTGAGTGAAGGGGGTGGGGCCGGGGATGGCGGTTTATGAGGAGGTTCTGATCCCCTTCCCCACCTGTTCCAATCCACGGGTGTACTTTCCGGGGCAGCCGTCCGCGAGCTCCATGTCCGACATCAAAACCTGCGAGGTGGCGGGTTCGAATCCAGGGGGAGGTGTGCGTATGCCGTGTGACGCGTGGGGGGTCGGGGCGGGGAAGGGGTCCAGGGTTACGTGGGGCGCAAGAGGCTCAGCTTCCTCACAGCCAGGGAAGAACATAGGTCTGGTTTTCCCCCTCGAGGTTTATAATGGCTTGGGAATTTTTGTTGCAGGGTCTTTGGTCGCGACAAGTTCTTTGGGACTTACGTGCTGTGTCGGAAAGTAGACTTCGAGAGCTAAAACGCCCACGCTGTCCGGCCGCGGACGGTCTTTGCCATGTCGGTAGGTGGCCATCATGCTGTTCTGGATGTCAGGCCCAAAGTTACCGCAGTTTGTAAGGCTCCCAGCAATGACTCAGCATTTTCAACCGGACCCAAGCAGGACTTTCTTCGACGACTGCATGCCCAAATGTCAATTATATTTGATGTGCACAACATATTGTAAGCAGCAGAGCTGTTCCAAGCTTCCGGAGAATGATTTACTAGATTGCAAAAGTACGGCAGCAAACCGAAGTGAAAAACATTTGGTCCACCGTATCTGTCTACAGTGTTGGGATAAATTATCCACCTCGCAAGAATGGCTTCATGCAAGCTGACGCCTTGCCAGAGCCGGCACCTCGTGCGACGCGCGGCGGTTTGGGGACATTTGCAGACGCAATGCGCTCCTCTTCCGACTCGAAACGACAGCCATGCGCGCAGAATAAACATCCTGCAGTGCTTGAGCGCATCTACTGATGCATCTGTCCTGACTCAGCTCACGGATAGAGGCTCGTCCATCAACAGCTCCGCAGCTAGCCTAGAACAGACGATGCCTCGGCGAGCCCTCCTAATCCTCTCTTCCATAGCTCTAGCATCCTCATGTCAGGGAGTCCGCAGCTTGGCTCGAGCGGAAGGTGCGGCCTGGGCCAGGGCCCATCTGGGGGATCGGTGACCTTCCGCGGTTAACATCTCGTCGGCGGGCCGTAAGTGCTATCAAGCGCGTCTAAGAGGGGATTCATAGGTAAAGGCTTTAGAAATGGTCTAGCAAATCCCAGACGGCAGCCATCGCCGTCCAAACTTCGACCTGATGGCGAGTGCTGCCCTGCTGTTGGAGCTGGTGGCTAAATAAGAACGGCCACGTTAACCGGATGACGTTGGGATGGGGATGTTGTGAGCGGGAGAAGCACGCCGGGTGCCTTTCCTGTTCCTGACCCTGTTCACCCCCTCCTTTCTTCCTCCTCCCACCCCATACCAGAACCCGCAGGGTCTTCATCCGCAACGGATTCCGCCGGGCATACGGACGACGCAGCTGCAGCGCCGGCGGCGGCCGCTACAGCGCTGGCGCCGTACAACAACGCTAAGCAGCGCTACACGCTGATGGTACCTTCCACCTGGGACGTGAAGGGAAAAGCGGGTGAGCACCGGGAGGTTCACGGGGAGGAGGATGAAGAGGAGTCAGAGTGACTGAATCGAGTGTGGGGAAGCTTTAGAGGGTTCGGTTTTTTGCGTGTTAGGTTTGGGCGGCCAAAAACGACCGATTTGGACGACTTCGCGGAATGGACCAGACGCCGAAACGCTCGTCTTATGGTCACAAGTCCTCCTAAGTTTATTTTTGTTTATCTTACACAGTCGAGTAAATTTGAGTTTTGTCAACTTTGCTGTTCATCCTTGTTGTTGATTGTATACTGCGAATTTGTTTTTCCTCTTCAGGCGCCGATGTGTTGTTCGAGGACCCGTCCCGGCGGTCCACCAGTGTGGGGGTCACAGTCAACCCGGTCAAAGTGGCGTCCATCCAGCAGTTCGGGGAGCTCGGGCAAGTGGGGAATAAGCTGCTGGAGGCGGAGAGGAAGAAGGTCGGGTGTGTGTGGCTGCGGCCCTGGCTGCGGCCCTGGCGGGTCCTGGCTAGCGACGCGCGTGTATAGGGATGTGGTGGAGTGGGAGCGGAAGAGGAGAGGGGACGGGGTCGGGGTTGGGAAAGCAAAACGTGGGCGCATGGCCGGGGCTGTGAGACAGGGAAATGAGATGCAGGAGTGTCCGTAGCATTGCTTTACAAGCAATGGGGGCTCTCCTTCCTAGGGCTGCCGTGTCCGCGTGTTTGGAAAGGGGGAGAAATGGCTTTGTCAGCGTCCAGAGCTTGACATTTTCCTCACTTCTTCGCCATGCCTCTCTTCCTCTCCCCTCTACACACCTACTGCCCTCCCTGCCTCTCTACGCTCTGTCCATGTGTGGCCCTTCCCCAACCCCCCTGGGTAATTATTGACACCGTATGTTCCTCTCATCCTCCCCTTGCCCCCGCTCTTAACCGCCGCTGCTCCTCGTCCCCCTGACTGGCAGGAGAGCACCTTGGGGGTGGTGCTGCTGGGCAGCTCGCAGCGAGTGGGTACGAGCGGGGCCACACTGTACGAATATGAGTACGAGTTAGACAGTACACGAGGTCGGAAGCGCATCCTCAACACCGTCACCATCTTCAACTCTAGGTACGTATAATGAAGTGGTGCTGGCGGATTGCTACGAGCACCAGAAGTGCCAGGAGTGTTTAGACAGAAATGTTTAGTAGGAGCTTTATTAGATGTTGGAAGTTCTAGGAGTAGAGGACACAGGACGGCTAAAGCGAGCATCGCCATCCATCACTTGGGGGGCATCTTAACGTAGGGCATCACATTGCCGTCCACTCATTCGAGCAATTGGTTGCCCGCATCCCAATCCTATCGGAAAACGGCATCTCCTCTCGCTTTTCTTTCCTCAGAACCCGCATGCCCTCCGCACCATCACACCCAGGCACTCACACTTGCACCTGTCCACCTTCGGATCTCCCGAATCACCTCACCTCACCTCCCTAGGCTAGCCCTGCTACATTCAAACCCTCCTCCTCCTCCTCTTCCTCTTCCGCTTTCCCAGGTTGTACATCCTCAACGCCAGCTACAAGTGTGACAAGGAGGGGTGTGGGGAGGAAGCAGAGCGCCGTGTGGGGTTGTTGAGGGAGGTGGCGGCGACCTTTGATGTAATGTGATGATGTGATGTTATGAGTTGGCGGAATAGCGGCTTGACTTGGTAGGTTCCCGGTTAACAGGGGCTAATGCGACTACGGGGGGAGGATATGATAAGGGGTCCTTAAATATGAGGGTTCAACATATAAGGGTTCAAAAGTATATGGACCCAACAAGTTTGGGGAGTTGTAATATCGATATATTTATATGTTTGGCGCTGCAATGTTTGGGTTGTGTTGCTGGGCCCATAATAATGGAGGCGTCCGGTAGGTTTCTTCGCAAACAAGTTGTCATCTTGCGAGCGGGTAGGAGACACGATCGAATCTGGGGCCGGGTGACGCCGGGTCTTGTTGTTTGCGTGTCGCTCCCGACTCTTTATTTTTGGCATGCGTCCTCTATGACTGGTTGCATGCGAGCTGGCGGCCATTCGTATGGCTTCCTTTCTTGTTGCGCGCACGTCGCAATATGGCACCAGCTGTGTCATTGCTCGGACATGAAGCAGTTAGAGTTGAAATGCAGTCTTCTTGCAAGTTAATTGGCAGCAGTCTGTTTTTAATAAGCAACATACGACACGGGTCCAATGTCATCAGGGCTGTGGATGCTTAATTTATGGGTCAAGGAGTTATGCTGCATATGTTAGCAGCATGTGTCGGTAATGTGCGTCAAGGCGTGAATGTTTTTGCTGCTGGGTGCTGACACCGTGGACGCGTGGAGGTCCGGAGCAGGCATCGGCAGTTTCGGGAGTTTCGGGTCGTACCGAAACTCCCGAAAACAGAAATAGAGTTATCGAAGCCGGCCGGCTTGCAGAAATAGGATCATACGCCGTTTACGAAAGGTGTTATGCGGCCCGATTATTACAAAAAACGCAATTTCATTCCGCTGCCTTGTAACAGAAGTTGTACTGGAAGGCAGAAATACACCCGTTCCCAAAGCCAAAGTACCCCGTTTGCCGATGTCTGGTCCGGAGGATCAGTGCGTCGGTAGGACAGTTATACTGTTTTTTTCAGCTAACCGCTAAACGTGTCGGGATCAGACATCGGCAAACGGGGTATTTCTGGTTTCGGTAACTTGTCTATTTCTGTTTTCCAGTACAATTTCTGTTACAAGGCCGCGGAATGAAAATGCGTTCTTTGCATTAGCTTGGCATTCAGCGTATACAGCGATCCTATTTCTGATCCTATTTCTGCAAGCCGGCCGGCTTCGAGAACACTAATTTTGTTTTCGGGTGTTTAGGTACAACCCGAAACTCCCGAAGCGTTTGCTGATGTCTGGTCGGGGTGCAGCGCCCCTAGCTCCTACGTGACGTTGAATGTTACTCAAGAAGCTTCATCACTTATTGCATCTTTGTTCTAGTCATTGTTGCATTGTTGCCCCCACACCCAACCGTACCAAAACACCAAATGTTATCAAAGTGTTTTGCGTTGGCAGGCCTTGACTTACATAAATGATATCCTTTCGTTTTCGCGTAGGATGAGTACAAATGTCCAACCAATCTGCGGGCGATGCAACTTTAACGCCATGTTCTTGGCAGCTGTCGCTCTCGCCTTAAGTCTTGCGAGTTGCACGTCTACGAATAGACGCCCTGATCCACTTCGTGAAATACCTAGAGTTGAGGTACATGATTGGAGTCGCCAGCTGTCAGGGCTTATACCTAACCGCGAGGAGCTAATGAAACGGCCGCGCGTAATCTTTGGATACCTAAGCGAGAAGGATTGGGCATTCACGGAATTTCTGTGTTTCATGCACGCATCATGGCGCTACGTGGCTTCTTTGGCGGAGGTGCGAGGCTCGCGCTCCGAAATTTCCCGTTGCCACAGCGGCCGTCCTCGTAAAAACAATGGACCGTTCCCCCTTCCCTTCGCCTTTGCCACTACTCGCTCCTTCCGCAAATAAGTTCCTCACCCTGCCCAAGCTCTTTTTATGTTGCTGCTGCGCGTGTTAAGGGTCGTAAATACCCTGCACATGAACTGCAAAACATAACTGCTCGAGCCACCCGTTCCGTTGCGTTCCTTGCCACGTGCGCATCCTCGACATGCGCAATTCGGCTCCTGGAACACGCCCTTTCAAATCTCACGCTAGGAAGGCCGGAAGCTTGATCTGGGTTCCCTGACACCGCGCCCTGCACGCCAGCCTGCCTGGCCTCCAATCGACGCCTACCGCGCTGCGTTCCAGCATAGAACCCTGCATACCGCGCTCTTCCCCACCTCCCCCCTTTCCCTCCTTTTCCCCTCTTGCCCTCGTTCTCAGCCCACCGGCTACGTCTTGGACCTGATGGTGCTCTCCGACCAGCGCTGGCTGCCGCAGGTGGCCTCACTGTGCGGAGCAATCGCATTAGAGGGCGATGAAGGGAAGGACCAACAGCAGCAACAACAGCAGGAGCAGCAGGAGGAGGGGGAAAGGGAGGGAGAAGGGCAGGGGGAGGGGTTTTCGGGAGCCCGGCCATGGCAGCGACAAGGATGGCGGCAAGGGTTGCATTGGCGACGGCCCGCCGGCAATGCGTCTGCGTGCTGGGTTGTGCCTTACCCTCCGCCACCTGACGCCGTGTGGCAGGGCTACCCATTCGTAGCCAGCTACCACTTCCTGGCGGACCCACGGGTCACTCAGATGCTCGTGTCCAACTACGGATACCCTATGAAGACCGGTGGGTTCTTGCGTGAGCACGTGCTGTTGGAAGCGCCTGCGTGTGTGTAAGTATGGATGTATGTACGTCTGAGGAAATGAAAAGTGAATCAAGTGTTGTTCTTGAGTGCAGACTTTGACTGCTTCATCACCCAGGCGTTGATCCAGCACTTCCCACAACAATTTGAGGTGCGTTGAAGGGTGGCGGGAGTTGGGCCTCAGTCGCCCCGGGGTGGGAAGGTGTGGGGAAGGTGTGTTTTTAGGGAGGTAGGCACCATTGGAGGTGGCGTGTGGCAGGCGGGCACCCGTCGCGGTCCCCACATTCTCTAAGTCCCCAATCCCTTTGGGGGACGCCACCATCGTTTTAGAAATCGGAGTCCTGCAGTTGGCGTTCAATAATATATATAAGACCTATCCACCTACACAGCTATCCACCTACACAGCAGGTATTTGCCAAGCGGCTTGATGGACGGTGGGAGTGCCCGAATACCTTGGGTGACCCCCGCGTTTTGCCCATAGGGATTAGCGGAGCCAAGGCTTGTCGCTATATGAACTGGATGGGAGCTGCCCCGCCTAGGGGTGCGCGTCTCGATTGGTTGGAGCGCACTTAAGTGACCATGCCCCAGCGACTACATCATGTGCTCATGCGTTTTCGGTTAGGCTGTTGGGAGTTAGAGGTTAATAGGCCTAATGGGCGTGAGCGCACCGCGCGTACCTGCAGGCTTTGTGACTGTGGAGCGGTTGAAGATGAGTTGCATGTTTTCGAGGAATGCCCCGCTTACAAGAGCATACGGGCTAAGTATGATGGTGATCTAGTCTTTAAGGGGCGCAGCATGCGCACCATTATGACTGAGGCGCCACCCCTGGCATTGGCCAGGTACCTCTCGGAAATCTGGGAGGCCAGGCACGTCGCGCTGAGGCGCTTCGCCCTGAAGCGGACGAGGGAGAATGAAGATGACCTCCCGCGTACCCGCATCAATACCAATACAACGTCCATGGGCCCCCGGCTTTTACGGGCACACCCGCACTTGTGTGCTGAACTTGTAACTTGTAACCTATCTATCCACCTAGCACCTATCTATCCACCTACACACCTACCTATCCACCTAGCACCTATCTATCCACCTACACACCTACCTATCCACCTAGCACCTAGCACTGCCACCCCGACTCTGACGGCTAGGTGGGCTACATGTACTACACGCCGCTTCCGGAGACTAGGCAACGGCTGAAGCAAGTAGCAGCAAGGCTGGGCCTCCGCCACCGCGGCCTGTACGACATAGGGCCCACGTGGTACGGCGACGTCGCCACTCTAATCGCCGTGGCCAACGCCTCGCTGCCGCTCGTGTACTATCTTCTTGATCGGGAGTACGACAAGAACCCTGACGGAAGCTGGCGGCGGAACTGGGCGGCGGGGGAGGTGCGTGCGTGTGTGTGTATGCATGCGTGTGTTTTAGTAGCGACACGTTATTGCCATCTTCGAAACGCAGTGTTGTTTGTCGTCAAAGAGATGCTTCTTCATGATATGCTCCCCCCCGTCAACCCTCTCGTTGATAACCCCTTCTTTCTCCGGAGACCCCTCCCCCATGTTTCAATCTTCCTCCCCCCCCCCGCTCCAGGGTTGGCCTCTGTGGAGCAAGGACCTGGCGGTCATGTACGCCCCTGACCTCGTGATCAATCACATGCTGGAACACGTGACCATCTCGCGAAAGTGGGTGTGGGTGTGGGTGGCGGATTGGAGGTTGAAGGGGGGGGGAATAAGGGGGTCTGTTGCTGCTGCTGTTGCCTCTGCTGGTTGTCGTGGCTGTCGTGCTGTTCGCACACCGCTGCTGCTACCGTTGCTTATGTAGCTGTTTGTTTGATTGTTTTGAGAGCTGCTACTACATTGCTATTTTCCTGCCGCTGGCGTTACTCACGCATCTTTTTGCGCAGCTGTTGTCACCGCCGCAGCAGCACTAGCCATTGCTGCTGCTACTGTTGCTGTTGCTGCTGCTGTTGCTGTTGCGAGGGTGTTGTTATGGTGTTTTTAGGATTGAGGGGTGGTCCGCCTGGCCGCTGAAGGAGCACTTCAAGCCATGGCTGCGCTCTGACCACATTCTTTTCTCAGCCCTACCGTGACTTTGTGTTGCGGTCTATCGCGTTTGGGGTGGTGGTCTGCTTTGCTGCCCTGCCTTCGTACGGCAATGAACACGCAGGTACGACGTCCACGGCGACAGCCGGCGGTATACCTTCACGTTGTATCACATCCACTGCCAGCACGGCGACGGCGACTTCAGCAAGTTTGAGTTTTTCAGGCACCGGTACAACGACAGGTGAAAAAGAGGGCGCGAAGTCGCGATCCTCCCCGGGCCTCTCCCTCCAATCTGCTCTCCCTTCCACTGTGCTTTTCCCGCTCAGCTCTCCATTTCATCGTTCATTGTCCTTGTCCTCCACCTTTTATACCTCTCCGCTTTCCCAGGAGAGCTTTGGAATATGGGCAGTTCCACAAAATTGGCTAAGGGAAAAGATGGGAAGCAAAGCAAAGCAACTTCCTACGCGATTCGTGTCCGCGCTTGTCGGCGGCACCTCGTTTTGCATCCTGCTCCGCATGTCCGGAGGTTGCAATGGTGCTATGTTCCTTTTTCCTTTAGAGATGAGGTGCAGCTCCCGCCTCCCTCTTTCCTTCCTGCTGGTGACGGTGATGATGATGATCATAATTCGGATACGGGCCGATCCTCCCATCCTACCGACCCTCCTCCCATCCTCCCTGCCAATCACGATCACGACTCATCGAGTATGATTCATTCCCCTTGCGTGCGCAGGGACATCTACCGCCCTGGTGCGTTGGACTTCAATGTGGTTAGGGACTACTCGCTGTTCCTTGCGGCGTCCACTTGGAGGCAGCTGATGCAGGTGCAGGGCCAGGGCCAGGGAGGGGGAAAAAGGACGATAAATCCTGGGATAAGTCCGGAAGATAAATGGACGGCGACTGGGACGGCGGCTGTGGCTGCGAGTGTTAGCGCGGAGGAACAGGAAATGCATGGCTCAGGATATGGTGATATGGGTGTGGGTGGAGATGGGAGTGGGAGTTATGTTTTGTGTGGTGGTGGTAGGGTGGTTCATGGCGATGGGAATCGTAGGGAAGGGTTTAGGTCAGCATGGGCAGGTGAGGCGGCGGCGGCGGCGGCAGCATTAGAGGACCGGGAAGTGCCGCCGGCGCATGCGGAGCTGTGAGATGCTGTTGGGCGTGTCTGTGTATGGCTTAAAAAAGGATGGTGCAGGAAAGAATCCTGACGCGGGGTAAGGGCCGGCAGGCTGCCACTGGGAATTGTTCGGGCGCGTGACAAGGTTGGAGTTTGATGGATGTGTACTTCTGAGTGGAATTTTAGGTAAGGGTACCTAAAATTCCAGGTAAGGGTTTCAGCTGGGGTTTCGCTGTGGTGAGCGAGAGGTGGCACATGAGACACGTCGCGAGAGAGTCGCATCATCAGATTTTATTGACATGTGATGTACTATAAAAGTCAGCACGTCGCTACGTCCAGCGGTTGCGCCGCTAAAAATATATTCACTTTTACGTGGTGCAAAGCGGCCTACGCGATGCTAACTTTGGCTTTTATCGGTGATCTGTGCGAGTTTTGCCCAGTTTGCATTAATAAAGGAAATGGCGGGCCAGGGGCTGGGTCACATTTCTCCTTTCTCACAACCTGTGAAATGGAACGTATGTTAACAAGCACCTGAAAATCTTTGAGCAGTGCCTTTCTGCCTTTGTGATGTACCGGAGTATGGCTGGTAATATTCACAATTCAACATACCCAAAAAATACGGCCTCCTGATAAATGGGATCCAGCTGAAATCCACGTTTCCATTGTGCAGTTAAACCGGTTGTCGGAGCCAAATATGGTCATGTAGTCCTCTGCCAATATATTGGAAGAAGAGCTGGGTCTTCGTTTGTGAAGAGGGACTGGCTTGAGTTGCAATGGAGAAATCGCCCCTCGAGTGTGAAGCTGCGATCATTGCCACCGTAACGGAGCCTGCTCCGCGCAGTGATGAGCATCCAATATGTAGCATCGAAGAGAATACCTCAACGCCGCCGGAACCCACGGTTTCCATTGCTTCCGTTCACCCGAAGCCTTCAGCTGTTCCGCTTGCCGCAGCTCTTGGCGCGATTGGTGCCACAATTGTGGGTGGACTTGTTGGTGTCTTCGTCCGACGATTGAGGAAGAAGAAGAGTTCAGAGGCAAAAGCAGCTGCTGCAACACCTGCGGTGACGCCCATTACAGCAACACGTCCAGTATCTCAGTCCGAAGCGCCGGAAGTGGACCTTTCGCCTTTCGGGAGCCCTGTGAGGAAGACGCCTGTGCGGATACCACCCACCCACAAATCAGATGGAATGCGGACCCGCAGCACAATGCCAGACAGCGATGCCGATGACCAGTTGAGTCCAACTCGCGCCAAGTTCCTGTTTCTCATGGCCTGCCACCCTTAAATATTCTCCATACCATGATAATATTCACCTGTTTCCGCTATCCACATGCGCGGCTATGCTCGTGCAGGTCCGACAATGCGTCTGTGCGCGACCAGCGCCACTCAACCCTGATTGACGCTTCGCAGCTGCAGAAGACGCTCAAGCAGATGCAGGAGATGGCGGAGGAGAACCGCAAGCTGTCGGTCTTCCTCGCTGAATACAAGGCCGATGCGGAGAAGGTAATCACTACCATACCGTGTAACATCCCCAAGCCACGCACGTTACTCTCTACGCGCTCTCCCTCTACTGCTCCATGCTCGTCCCCCATCTCATTTGGCGCTGCAAAAAACTTCAGCTATCCACACAACCGGAGCTTAACCCGGGTTTGAATCAAAAGCTTAGGACTCGGAGGGCCCAGAAAGGGCACACCTGCAGTTTTCGAGAAGCAGCGCGGGATGGAGAAGGTTTACTCGGGGTCGGGCGTCCCTGACGGGGCGACGGTTGCGACATTTGCCAAAACGTGTGGCAATATCATGCGCCCTACGATACTTTGCTAAACATGCCGACTGGAGGTACGACAGCAGCGTTTGCACAGCTCTCCGTCCCTTTGTCCTTTCTCCCCATCCCCCCTTTTCCCCCTCCTCTCTCGCTCTTGCCCGCTGGCTAGTTTGTATCTGGGTCACTGCAATCTCCCGGGTCCCTGAAACATCGCAACCCTTCTTTCCCCCTACTATCCTGCCTGCTCTTCTTTCCCCCTCTTCCTCCTCGCTACCTGTGTGTCTGCATCTCCGTCTACCGCCTCTGTCTCACCATCACCTCCTACGCCGCCGCCGGTATGACTGTCTACCCACGCCCCCACCACCACGTCCTTCTCCTGGGATTTAGCTTTCTCGTCTGGAGGAGGAGAACCGAGCCCTCCGCGGTGTAACCCGGCAACTGGAGGTGGAGCTACAGGACCTCAAGACCAACACCATGCCGCGCACCGGTGCAGAGCTGGAGGTGCGTGAGTTCTCCAAGTTTATGATGGTGAAGAACTGAGAGCCGCGAGGGGGAAGCGGTGCACGGGGGCATGAAACGCGCACGATAGCAAGTTTACATAGATTGGAGGGGAGAAGTGTGGGAGGGCGGAGAAGCGAAAGAGGAGGGGGAGAAAGATAAGAGAGGGGGAGGGGGGGAGAAATGAAGGTGGAAAGAGAGGGAAAGAGAGAGAAAAATGGGATGAGAGAAAGGAAGAGAGAGAACGGGGCGGAGAGGGAGAAGGAGAGTCGCACAGCGCTCCGGCCGGTGCTCTGCTCTGATGCCCACCTGTACTGGTTTCCAAATATAAGGCGTGAAGGGCTTCAAGGGTTCTGCAAGGCTTGGCGCGCCGCAACGGACAGAGCGCAATGCCTCTTGCGTATCGCTCCTAAATTTTTCGAAGGACTACTTCTTGTGCTGGCCTGCTGGGATGCCTTACCTCACCTGCCTACCTGACGGTGCACCTGCCTGTCCGTCTGTCTGTCTGTCTGTTGGCATGTCCACCTGCCTGCAGATGTTCAAGAACTCTGTACGCGTGCCGGCCGTAGCCCGCAGCGTGTGCAGCAACGATGAGACGATAGCTCTGGGGGTCAGCACGGCGTCCGTCGACGGCATCAACCCAGGTGGGTTGGTGGGTCTCCCCGCCCTGCGGCGGCTAGAAAGGTGCCACCATGAATCCGGGGATGGAAAGCATCAGGGAGCCCGGACTGGGCTGGGCTGGGCTGGGTGCGAGAGAACTCGCCAGAGGGAGAAGAAGAAAGAGGAGGACGTGCGCTTCGGTTGTGGGATTGAACTGGCCAAGGCTGAACCCTGGCAGCGAGTGGGGTGCGGGGTGATTTCGCGTAAAAGGGACAAAGCTCCCCAGCCGCCTAGCGGCACCTATCTCTTCGGTTCCCCGGTCTCCAAGTAGGGGATGGCGAGGAAATATCTTCCGATGTGCTGCTGCAAAAAACAGCAGAAATAATAGCTTTTGAACTTTAATTTTTAATGCTCTCCGCAGCGTTCTCTCAGGCATACCTCTTGGTCGCCGCGCTTCTTCCCCTCTTTTACCTCGTAGTCCTCTCCGGGCACCCCACACCAATCCGCCGCCCTCCTTCCCCCCACCCACATCCCCGCCGCCCATGTAGATGCTCGCGTGCGTCGCAGCAACGTCTTCAGGCAGCTTTTGTCGGCCCTGCAAGGCAACTCCAGCAGCACCCACACGTCGCAGCCCACATCACCCCGAGGGGGCACCTCTGCGAACGTGATTTCCCGAGGCGTTGGTGCCAGCGGTGCCGGCGGTGGCACCAGCTCGCGGCAACGCCGGCAGCCGGGCCCCGAGGAAGCTGCCGTGATCGGCCATGCGGTGTACCAGCTGGTGCGTTGCTGGGTACTGCGCCTGGTGGGAGGTTCGTGGAGGGAAGCCTCGAGCGTGGCCATGGCCATAGGCTGCGCAGCTACTTCAAGTGAAATGGGTTCCAGAAGAAGGAAAAAAGGAAAAACCGAATCAGATTTTAGACACGATCCAAATGCGAACAACTGTACATACTGAACTAGGGGTTAATTAATTAAGGGGAGAGGAGGCCTAGAGGCCTAGCCGGTCGAAAGAGGCACATGTCGATCACAGCAGACGACTGTCTAGAAGCGTTGTAGAAGGCGCTAAATGCATTGCTCCTTTCCTTTCTTTCTGACGGCGGTTCAGAGTAATGCTGCTTGCGCCCTCACTTAGTTTGGATGTCATACGCGTGCGTCAGTAGCAGTAACATTTGTGCGCAGAGCTTACAGTAGCTGATGTGTCCTCTTGGACTAGACTTGTCATTATGTTTGTACCGTCTACGTAGCATCATTTTTTACCCCAGCTGGCCCCTGGTCCCTGTCCCATCCCACCCGCAGCTGGACCAGTTTGGTGGCCGCATGATGTGATCATTCTTCCTTCAAAAGTGCCATGGATGAAGCTATATGTTGGGATCGTTGTGGCAATGTTCATTCGTGGTTTTGTTGCCGGAGCAAGGCACTGATTTTCGCAACATTCGGTGCCTTCGGTTGAAACGTTGAATGTTGGATTCTTTTCTAGCATAGGTAGCTCAATATATAAAGCAGGGGATGAATGCTTGTTTGCCAGGTTGAAGTTGTGGTCTGCCTGTACCAGTACGTTCTGTCCATGACCCCACGGAACTTAACATGTGTCCAGGTTGTTAAATGAAGAGGCTTGCCTATCGTGCAGGAGTGTGCTGAAGAAGGTGCATGAATGATCAGCTTCTGTCGCCGTGCTTCCGAATGTTGAGTACGGTTGTTGCGTACTGTACGAGTAATAAGTTCCGTTTCTTGCGTTGCCGCCACAAGCTAGATTGCATTTTCGGACTCAGTAGCTATTGAATAAATATATTGTAACTTAGCGTGCTCACGGAATCGCATTTTGGCAATTGCGCTTTATCGATCGAGCTAGAATGACAGCTGAGGAACTTCAACACCCTATGTGCCAGCATAGTAAAGTCTGATAGTGTCAAATAAAAAGGTTTCCTTGTGCCGCAAACAATGGGGTATCATCGCACAGCGCTGGCCTGGTCGCAGCTGACCGCCTTGCTACTCGCGGAGCTTGCTACGCTTATCGCAACATCGCCATCACCTGCGTTTCCCATCCGGAAGCCACCTCTTACCTCCCATTATCAAGATCCCGGATCCTCAAGTCGCCGCGTGTTCTCCTCCGAGCAGGAGCGCGTTGGCAATCGCACATTCCACCCATCTTTCGGCCTCTTCCCAAAGGGTTGCCGTTGGCGCACCGTCACGACCGACAACTCTACGCATGTGGACTACCAGTTCTGGGACTTTGCCGCGGAAACGTGGTCCGACGAGCGGCCGGCGGCCTGCGTACCCACCACCTATCCTGCGCCTGGCCCCGCGGGATGGCACTGGAACAACAACACCCCCCGAACCGAAGTTAGTTGCCAAACCTCCCACTGCGTCTACACCAACATGTATTACAACAGCGGCCGCTGGTACGCGCTGGTAGACGGCGAGCTCTTCATCCCCTCCTGGCGCTTCAGCCGCAACCAGGAAGTAGTTCCCTTCCACGTCGTGAACGCAACCGACTTTATCGAATCCGTTAACTGGCGGCTTGTGCCGGGCGACACGATTCTGTTTGACTTTGTGTTTTTCATTCACCCGACCGCCATCGGGCATTGGTGGGAGATGCTGGGGCCGCTGTACAGGTAAAGGAAGAGGGGGGAGAGGGCACGGAGGTGACGGGGGGAAAGGAGGGGAAAGTGTGGTGAGAGGAGCAAATGACTCGCAGAGTTGGCCTGGACGGGAGCCTTGTTGGCGGGGTGGGGGTGCGGGTAGGTGGGTGGGTTGGAAGGCGGGGATGTATGGGTGGTGAATTGGGTTCGCGGGCGGTACCTCTCCTGGAGTTTATCCCTGTCCGTTGGCTTGATGCAACATCCCACACTCCCCCTTGCACCGCCTCCCCACGTACTCCCTCCTCTCCTCCACTCAACTCCTCTCCCCTCTGCTGCCTCCCTTTGCTGATTACTTGCTTCTGGCACATACTTGCTTCCCTCCCTCCCTCGCTCCCTCCCTCCCTCCCTCCCTGCAGCATCCTGAAGACCATAGACTTCAAGCGCCCCTGCGACCAATTCGTGCTGCTACACCTGGGTCGGCAACACGTGTTGGAGTGGGTCCGTGCCATGATCGCTGTGACACTGGGGGTGGGCCTGGAGGAGGAGCTGCCGCCCATCCTGCTGCAGGACGAGACGGACAACGCCTGGAACCAAATCAGTTGAGGAGGAGGGGGGGCCGGGGGAGGGGGTGGGGGAGGGGGGTGGGGGAGGAGGAGGAGGGAGGGAAGGAGGGGGAGGGGGAGGAGGAGGAGGGAGGGAAGGAGGGGGAGGAGGGAGGGAAGGAGGAGGAGGGAGGGGGAGGAGGAGGAGGGGGCAGTGCGAGGGAGAAAGGACGGAGGAGTTCACAGGGGCCAAAAAGGACTTCCAGGTCGGGATTGAGGGTCAGGAGGAGGGAGAAGTGTAGGGGGTTCAGGCTGCACACGGCCCACCGCGCACCGCGCACGGATGTATTACCTTGGAGGGGCGAGACCCTAGCCCCCACCGACCCCAGCCGGCTACTGCTACTCCTGCTGCTGCTACTGCTGTGGCAGGTGGTCCTCTGGCGTCTTAGTCCCCCTCCCGTATGCCCCCCTTTTCCCTCCCCACCCCCACCGCTTGATCCGTCTATCTCTGGTATCTGTCTCATTTCGTCGTACCCCAGGGTCCTCTTACCCCCCCCCTCCCCCTGCCTCCCTCCTCCGCAGCTCAGCAGCTTTCCGGGTTCGCCCGAGATACCTGGTACGTCTTCGAACGAGTGCTCATTGTCAAGGTGGGTGGGTGGGTGGGGGCGGGGGTGAGGTGGGAAATACGGAGGCTTAGGGGGCCAGCGGCCGGGGGACGCCGCTCGCCTAGGCTGCCAGCTCCATTGACAACCTCCTTCCTCCCCCAAAGTATTTAAGATGTTGCCTTTTTCGCTAACCTGCCACTGCCTTAGCCTGGGTTGGGCTGGGCTCTCCTTACCCCCTATCGGTTTATATGACGAGACCCCTCTCCCCCGCTATCCCTTTCGTATGTACAGGATCTAGCCACGGGCGGCGGTCGCACCTTCCTGACCTTCGCTGACGCCCGGGAGTTCCGGGAGCTCATCTACCGCCAATACGGTGAGGAGGGAGGGAGGGAGGGAGGGAGGGAGGTGGGTGGGGGGAGGGGGAGAGGTGGGAGGGGTGGGAGGCATTACGGCTGCAACGTGCAAGAGCCTACCTGGCGCGACTTAGACAGACAGACAGACAGACAGACAGACAGTTGACCCAGACAGCTGCCAACCCCCTCGAGACGCGCCTGAGGCACGGCCCGTGATCCCCTACTGCTACTGCTGCCATTGCTGTACTGCTACTGCTGGTCCGGCTGCGCTAAATTGGCTGCCACTGGTGCTTGTGCTGGCGCACTGATTCCCCGCTGGTAGGGGGTTAGGTAGCAGACGGCAATGGGGCCCGGGGTGCAGAGGCGCCCGTAAGGCCACCTTTCTCTCTCTTCCCATCCAATTTGTAGACAATTTGTTTGTCCGTCGTTACCCCTCTCGCCGCCTTCCTAACTACCCGTCTATCTCTGGTATCTGCTTCATTCACCAGTGGTTCGCCTTACCCCCCCCGCCCCCCTGACTGACTCTCGGACTACCCCCCCCGCCGCACCCGCTCCCGGATCACCAGCTCTTCCCCCCCCGGTCCCGCGACCCAACATCCCGCGGGTCATCACCTTTCAACGCAAAAGAGCCAACCGCCGCATCGTCAACGAGGACGAGTTCATGGACCTGCTCAAGCAGTACGGCGAGCTCAAGGTACGGCGGTTGTACGGCGGTGTCGTAACCACGAGTTATAGGAATTTCGCTGGTGGCGGCGACAGCGGGCTCTCCTCCTCCTCCTCCTCTTCCTCCTCTTCCTGCCGTGTGTTGCACTCCTCTTAGCACAAATATATGCCAGTTTCATTATATGGGATGCTCTGAAACACGTCGTACACGTTGCCGTACACTCTGCTTTTGTTCGTGTCTTTGCTGCCCGTACGCAGGTGGTGGAGTACAACAGCAGCTCCTCGCTGTACGAGCAGCTGCTGCAGATGCGCGAGACGGGCGTGTTCGTGTCGGTCCACACTTCCAACCTCGCAAATGCGCCGCTGCTTCAACCGGGGTCGGCCGTGTTCGAGGTCATCCAGGTTGGGGGGGAGGATTGGAGAGCTGGGGTGCTGGAGGGTTGGTGGCGGGGAGTCGTGTGTGTGTGGGTTTCGGGGGGTTTTACGGGTGGTGCGGTTCCTGGCGGCGGGAGCTGACAACCGGGGATATCTATCTATTTACCTGTCTCCTTATGGGTCTATCTGTATATCTTTCTGTGTATCTGAGCCTAAATGTCTGCCTACCTGTCCACATACCTACTTACATGCATACATACACATACAAGGTCAGGGACTATTGGTAGAGCACGCACCAATGCCCCCGGAGGTTCCGGGATCGAGACCTGTCAGGGTGAAAATCCGTCCTATGGTGGAAGGTATAGTGCCCCTAGTCGATGAACGGTGGTGACCTGGGATACAATTAACCTGCGAGCCGACCAAGAATGGAGTTGAGCCGGCGTCTATCCGGCAGATTCCGTTGGATGCCGGTGGTGGGTGCGGAACCTGAGCGATCCACTGAGAAGTTGACTAGGGTGACTAGATGAGGGTGCCTTGAAATACCGGGGAAGGCAGGGTTTCGCAGGGTAGCGGCTGCAGGGTGATGATATGACCCCCTGTCCCACACAAAATACATACATACGCACATACACGTGTACGCAGCGCAACTGGATGTGGAATGGCCTGGACTGCTCATTCCGAGATCAAACCCACATGATGCTCGACATACATCACTACGCCTGGCGGGCCAAGCTGCTCAACCAGACGGTGTACCTCAACGAACGAGACTTCCACAAGTGCGTGTGTCGGGATGCACTGACTGACTGACTCACTGACTGACTCACTGATGGACTGGTGTGACCTCATGACGACAACAGCATGTCTGAGCTTTCACGACTTCAACGTTAAACCCTCTTAAACTCTTGGAAACCACCGAAACCCCCACACGCACCGCAATAGAATAGTCTGGACCGCAATAGTTTGGACCGCGGGGGGGTGACCCGCTGCTGGGGCTGACAGTAAGGAGGAGGGTGTGCAGGAATGTGCAGCGCAGGGTCGGACGGTCTTTCTTCACCCCACCTCCTCCTCCTCCCCCCGCATTCCCCTTTCTTGATACATTCCTGCCCCGGGGCAGCAGCTTCACTCGTTCGTGATTCGTCTTTCCCCCTTTCCCCCAACCCCCCATATTACCCCTCCCCCTCCCCCTCTCCTCCATCCTTGTCTCTCCCCCAGGGTGGGTCACTGGCCGGCGGGTCAGTGCGGCACGGAGGAGTGTGTGGAGGCGCATACCAACGTGGACGTCATTGTCAACATCCAGGAGTTCAAGGCGCTGCTGGACGACCGGCTGCCGTACGTCTGGGCAGGAGCCACCGTACAGCAAGCCGCCATAGCCTGGCCGGACTGGTAGCAGGTAGCAGGTGGCAGGTGGACCTGGACCTGGACTGGTGGCGACACAATGACTTTGGGGACAGGATGACGCGGAGCATGGGGTTGTGAAATAAAAGGAGGGAGAGGGGAGCTACAAGAGGAGGAGGAGGAGGTCGGCAAAGAGCAGTCAGAGAAGTGTTCAGGGGGTCAGCGGATAGCGGAGGAGTATGATGATGATGATGATGATGATGAAGCAGGATGGGAGTTGTAGATGTGTTAAAAGTGCGGTAGATGCTGTGGGGTGTGTGTGTGTGTGTGCGCATGGACACGTGTTTTTGCGACGCGCGGTGGCGTGCGGCGGTGTTCAACACGGATAACTAGGGTTGGTAATAGTCTAGGGCCGGTGGATGAATGCGCAAGTGGGTATGGATGAGAGATGAGAGGTGGTGGTGGTGGTGGTCGTGGAGGGTGAGTTAGGAGGAGGACGGGGGAAGCGCGCATGCGAATCACTCTCTCCGGGAGCGAGCGGAAACAGGGTGGTTAACATGCCTTGCGGGTGTATTTATGTATATATGTATGCATGTTTGTATATGTATGTATGTATGTGTCTACATGTGCATGCATAGGGGTGTGCGTGTGTGTGGAAGGGGCCCCTTGAGGCTGAAAATGCTTAAAAGATTCATTTTCATTTGTAAAATTCCTCCGGCGCGGTCTCTCTCTCCCACACACTCAGGAAGCACGAAGCGCGAAGGACCGCCTGCCCCACCTTGTCCGCTCGCGAGCGCGCCGTGTCTGTCTCTTCAAATCGTCCTACTGAGGCTGCGAGTGATTTGGGCCCTGCTAGGGGCCTCATTTGGGGGACTTGACAGCTACGGCAGCTGCACCGGCACTACTAGTGCCTAGTAGGCGGGCAGCGCCGGGCGTATTGCACCGGCATGTACCCTGACTCGGCCGGGCTATTGCCCCTATACTCCTGCTGCGCTACGTTTTGTGGTGGCGATCGCCGTTTTGCCTACGGCCCGGTTTTGATAAAGAGCGCTTTCTGCGGTTGTAGGTCGCAGCGGAGGACTGAACACACGGCTGAGCCCTCCATCCCCGCCTTCTCTACGACCCGAGCGACAAAAGTCGTGACAAGTTGGCCCCGGGCGCAGCATCAAGCTCCGCCGGCGTCTCCCCCACCACCCCCACCCGCGCCTCCAGGACAAAAGCCAAGCTAAGCTAAGCTTGTGAATAGTAGTGGTTGTTGTTATTGTTGAATTCGAGGAGATGCACCAAAGAATGAAAGCTGAGCTGATGACAACAGCCCTTTGTGAAAGCAGCTCTCGATGAAGACGATGTGTGTGAACTTTTACAAAGCCCTGAAGGCCCCCCCCGGGTATAATACCCCCCAGTTGCCTCGCCATCGGAGCCTTCCTATTACTGGCTTGACATTGCTTGACCGCGCCTGAGATGCTGAAGAAGGAGGCGGCGCAAGAAACCGATAGCCCCTTCTTTCTTTCTCCTCCTCGGTCCAGTAATCGGTAACACCTATGGCAACAGAAGAAACGCACATGACCACCAGACCGCAACCAACCAACCAACCAACCAACCAACACACATCACATCTCACTCGAGAAAACACCAGTATCATATTCACATTCAGCACAGTAAACCAGCGAGCTCAGAAATTTGAAACTTTACTCTTTTTCAGGTGAAAAAACTGAAACCAACATGTGTACACGTCCACACATACATACCGACATGCCAAACCAACGCGCATGCAAACCAGTAAGTGCAATCATACAAACAAACATACATACATTCACACATACAACAACATTCCTACATGCCTGTGTACAGGGTGCAGCCCTACCATAGTACACATATCCAAGCACAGCATGAGCAGGGTATCTTTGCACCTCATAACCTGAGCCCTGACGCCCGCAACCACCTGCTATGCTTCCCCCCCCCTGGGTAAGTAAAGGGCCGTGTTCCGGAGCTAACGTCAAGTAGTGTTCACCTACCATATGCACATACATACAGACGTACGTACATACCCAACACGAGAAAGGATGTCAAACGATGAGACCATGTACGGGGAGTACGAACAAACCTAACATCCAGGGTTGCGCCACACATACATACAAACGTACATACATACATGCAGGCACCATAGGACCAAACCAAGTTGGTAAAGAACGACAATAACCACTACCATCACAACCACAACCAACAACAACCACTAACGAGCCAAAAGCAACCAAAAACTGCACTTCCGAGCCACCAAAACCCGACTCTATCTTTTTAGGCGGACATGGGTAAAGCTTGGGGAAGGAGGACGGGATAGCAGATGATGAGAGCCACCAAGCAAGCAACGCGAACTTTCAAAGCCAAACCAAGCCGCCATATCTTTAATGACCAACAACTAACCAAAGGATGCAATGATCCAGCCACGAAAAGGTCATGAAAGGTAGGGCGCAGGCAAATCAACTCCCGCCAACAATAACAGCACCAGAGAACGGTGTTGCTACCTACACACACATCCACACGACCGAGAACCTTAAAGCCCGGGCGCTATTCGCAGAGCGGCACTGCTGCTGCAACAGTCAGCAGCACCAGTCGCCAGTGAACGACACCGCGACTACCACGCAGCCGAAATTTGACGCAGAGAGCGCGACAACCGGCGCGACGATGAAAACGTAGAGATCGGCAACACACAGGGGTAAGGAAAGAGAAATATAGAGCAGTACGGTACATGTGTGCGACTGTACGGCGCTCTGGCACAAATTCGACATTGTCTGTCGTGCGGTAGCCCCGTCCCGCGACGCAACCACCTTCGCCCCCCTCCGCCGGCTGTTCCCCAATGCGGGCTACTGACGAGGAAGAAGAAGCTGAAGGGGCTGAAGGGCTGAATGCAGCGACCAGAACCAGAGCAAAATGTGGGTGTGTGAGAGAGAGAGAGAGTGTGTGTATGTGTGCACGGCGAGCCACGTCATTTTAGGAGCCGGGGGGCCCCTGACCCCCCCCCCCGCCAGGGTGAGGGTGCGTGCCGTCAAGCCTGCGGCTACACGGCCCAGCCGGCAAACCCCCCACCCCCCCACCCCACCCCACCCCCACATCCCACCCCTTCCGCAATCCAAGGTCATGAAGGGAGATGAAACGGACAGCCCGCCGGCTGAAAACGCCTTCCAAACGCAACACCGAGTAACATACATACAAACATGCATGCATGCAGACATGCATACATGCGTTCCGTTCCTTTCCGATAACGTACATACAGACATACGTGCATACATAAATGCATACATAAACGCATACATAAATGCCTGTGTACATACATACACACGCGCACACGCTCCCATAAGGGATAAAGTCGTGCAGCCAACCTAACTGACTAACGACTGAAAGCGCCATCGGGGCAGCTCGACCTCCGAAACCAGAGTCCCTTCTCCTCCAACCTCTCCCCGTCTGCGACCACAACCTACTCCCCCTCCGTGCACGGCTGCGCGCCTGGCGAAAAAGATCAACAACGCCCGGACAGCCCGGAGTTTGCTTGCTTGCTTAGGCAACACCACAATTTGCTCGCACGCACAAGGAACACGGTGCTGGTGTGCTGGTGTTGTACAGCAAGCCTGCCTGGCGGCCTGCCTGCCGTACGCGGTCTATCTGCCCATACGACGTTTCCGTTAGCGGGTTAGCGGCCCCAAGGGGGCCCCAAGGGGGGGGGACGATTCCCCTTTCCAAACCCCTTTCCAATGGCGGCTGCGGTGAAAGCTGCGGCTGCTGACGCCACCGCCGCTGACGTCCATCTTTGCATCAGCCCCCCGGGGGGATAAGACAGGAGACTACCCATACGGGCCTGTACCATCGCCAACAAAACCTTTATTCAGCGTCCTTTGCCGTACATTGTACCGCGCCGTGCCAACCTATCCAGTACAAAGAAGTACAGCTACAGCTACAGCAGCAGCAGCACACCGGGACGCACAGACACACACACACACACACATACATACAAATGCACATGCACACCGCGATAACGCGACAAAGCAAAAGGGTCGACATGACGAGAGGCATATCGCCCTGCGCTCAGCTCAGCTCAGGAAGGCGAATGTCTGTCTGGGGAGATTCCCGGAGTGCGACCCGAACTCCCCCCCGCTATCACCCCCCGGGCCCCCCCCCACCTCCCTACATTCCCATCTACCCTCTTAGCAAAACGGAGGCCGGGCCCCTCCTCCCGCTCTTTCCCCCCCTCGCCGCCGCAGCTCCCCGCGATTCGATTGGGGGAAAAGGGGGGAGGAGCATGTGCGAGAAAGTGGGAAGTGAGAACAGCCGGTGTTCGATTGGGGGGAATGAGGTTGCGCACCCGGTCCGACCACCACGAGGCCTATAAGGCCCCCTAAGTGCCCTCAGCCAGCTGGGGCAGGCCAGCCAGCCAGCCAGCCGGCCAGGCCCGCCGCAGCCAAGATCTGAAATCAATCCCCCCAGGGTAGCGCCCTCGGGGGTAACTCCTGTACGGCAGCTAGGTAAGGGCCGCGGATCGAGATCCGCTCCGAGTATTAGTCAAGACACGAGGTTAAAAACACAAAGAAAGTTCCGACTAATTAACTGTGTAATCAGACATACACAATTTGCTTTTATTTTTGTGTCGTATCCTTCTGTTCAATTTTTGGATTTGAGTTTTGTTTGCCTGGCCCGGAGGATTGCAGTCCATCCAGCATGCCAAGGAAAGCCAAGGGTCTGTTGTGGAAATCCGATCCGAAATCGGAAATTCGGATGTTGGATCCATTGGATCCACCCAACACTAACACGAAGGGGCAACACGCACCGCGAGGAGGCGCCGAGATGCGCTCTCAGCCGACATCGCCGTCAGGGCAGTTACTTCCACTACTGGGTGGTACGGGCCGTCTCGATCAGACAAATTCAGAGCCACTACCAACATCGGCACCACCACCAGACCGCCGCCGTCGCCGCCACTAGCAGCATCGCAATCACGGTCGCCGCCGCCGTCACCGAGACGCATCATCATCGCCACCACCACCACCACCACCACCACCACCACCGCCACCACCACCGCGATTCCGCAACCTCAGCCCCCCCAAGGGGGACTTCAACAACTACCGCCACTCAAGGTGGTGGCCCAGGAGCCATTAACAAATGTCGTTTTATGTCGTAAACAAATAGCAGCGGTAGCAGCAGTGGCAGCAGCAGCAACAGCAACACATCACTTCGGACCTATCCTCAGCGCATTTGGCCATAACTGCCGTACGTGCATATGTACGGCGCCCATCCGCCAAAATAACGCGATAACTAACGTCGAGTGCTTTCCGCACACACCTCGCATTATGCAGGGGGATAAAATGCAAGAAAGCCAAACAGCCGCAGGAGAGCGGGAGAGAATGCGAACGAGAGATTGCGAGATACGCGAAGGAGCTAGCTGGCTGGCTGGCTAGCTGGCTGGCTGGCTGTTACCGCAGGTTCGACTGGATTTATCAATGCAGCAACCGCAATAACAATAACACCACCACACGAGGGGCACATGCCATGGCAGGCAGGCCGGCAGGCAGGGGGGAAAGAGGGGGGAACGCATGCCGCAAACACACACACACACACACACATATACACACACAAGCCGCCGCCCTCGACGCGAGGGTTATATCCTGGGTGGGGGTGTCACCGCCCTGCCAAATGTTGGCGACTGAACGGCCTCGAGCTAAACCCCTTTCCAGGTTGCGTTGTGCGTATGTATGTAAGTTCGTGTCAAGGGGAGGTAAAGTGTGGATCAGACATCCCCAATGCGCCATCCGGATGCCGCATTCGGACAAAAAGAAAGAAAAGAGATCAAGGGGTCAAGGGGTCGCTAAGAACTGGAGCAGCTCCTGTCTGTCAATCCGTTTGTCACTCCGTCTGTCATTCTGTCTGTGAATGAGACTGCATCGAAGAGAGCACAAGCGCCGGAAAACCATCACATCCCCATCCAGGTCCGCAACCCACATCACCACAGTGCCTCTACATCACTACATCACTACATCAACAATAACATCACCATGGAACGCACACAAACACGTACACATATCATTACGTGGGGGACATCGACGCTTTCAACCTTTCCTTCGCTACTTTCCATCCCTTTCCTTGCCGAGCAGCGCAGCCAGCAGCAGCACCAATCAGGTACCTGACAGCGACCCCGCAACGGAACAAACGAGTGACGTGGCCAACCGAATAACCGCCGCCAACGGCGACTACGACTGGTCCTCCCCGACGCCGTACTGCTCCTCCTCCTTCCCCCTCCCCAGCCGATATAGACAGCCCGGCGGTATCCCACCTCCTCCACTTCCCGCTGGGGTGGGGTTGGGTTGGGTTAGGTTGGGGCCGTCCCTAACTCAGCAGCCCCGGTGTTCCCGGCCCCACCCCGATATCAGGTAGGGCCATCACCCGGCTCAGCAGTCTCACTGGGCCGCGGCAGCCACCACCGGCATGGAGCGCAATCCCGGTGCCACCCAGGTAGCAGCAGCAGCAGCAGCAGCCGCAGCAGCGGCAGTGGGGACGGCGGAAATGGAGATGGCGGAGGAGGAAGCAGAGGCGGAGGCGGAGGCCGAGGGGAGTACTGCTGCCGGCAGGGGGGTTAGCGGGGGCAGTACTGTAGCCGGAGATGGCCCTGGAAAAAAACCCATCCCCATCCCCGTCCCCGTCCCTAGCCCCACGTCGCACGACATCCGCCGCTGCACCCGCGACCCCGCGAGGTGGGCCGTACAGTGGTCGACGCCGGCGGACCCCAAGATGCCGCTGGTGGTGCTACTGCTACCGCCGCTGCTGCTACTACTACTACTACTACTGCTATTGCTGCTGCTGCTGCTGCTGCTGCTACCACATCCAAAGCGATTGCTCGTCATTGTGGTGATGGCAGCGGCTGCGGCGACTGGGCTACAGCCGGCTGCCAGGTCGGACAGCAGCGACCCGCTGGGGAGGCAGTTGATGGGTGGTGGCAGCAGCGGTTTGGCGATAGCAGCGGCGGCGCAGATGCAAGGGCTTGAAAACGCGGGCTGTTGTTGTTGCTGCTGCTGCTGTGATGTCGTCGACGTCGCCGTCGTCGTCGTCGGCTGTAGTACCATTTGCGAGAGGGAGCGCGAGTGGCGTTGACTGCTGAGGGTCCAGGGTGGCCGCTGTGATTGATCGGAAGACAGACAGTCCGTGAAGCAAGGTGAGGTGCGCCTCGTGGCGGCTGTAGCAGCAGCAGCAGCGGCAGCCGCAGGTATAGAAGGAGCACTAGCATCAGTATTCGTTCTTAAAGAAGACGCGGCGGGGGCCGCGGGGCATCCCGGGCTGACGGCGGCAGGAAGGGTGGGGATACCGGAATGGAGTGCGAAGATGGCTGCAGCGGTGCTGGCGGCTGTAGTCGCGGGCGGCGCTGATTCAGCTTCCTCCCGCGTTGACCTCCAAGGTGATGCGTATTCGTCCAGAATTCGTTGTACGGCGTCAACAGTGAGCGGCTTGCGCTGTGAGGGCAAAATAATAAAGCAGTTGGGTTGGGGATGGGGGAGGAAAGGAGCGGCAGCAGAAGCAGTCAACGTGCAGGAATAACCTCTGCAGGAACAAGCTATTGGCCCGGTTGCGGTTAATTGTGGCTGTTTCTTATCTTAACATATTATAAATAATGTAGGATTGCGCAAGGTGCTGTACCCATATCCAGGCTTGCAAATTAGGTGTCGATGTTGAAAGAGATTGAACTAGGGCTTTGTGTAAGCGCGTCTAACAGGGTACTGGTAAATGTCAAGGAGGATTGGTGTTGCTAAGGTGCATGTTTTTTTACAGCTGCCAAGCAAAATCTGAAGAAAGGCGAAGGAGTCACACACGTACCACAGCGCCATTAGCTCCGAGCGAAACTGCCCGTTCCGCCACAGTCTGTCCATCATCAACAATGTCGTCCAAGCAAGAAGACGTGCAGACGACAACAGGCACTGGTAACTGTTTAAGGTCCGGAGTCCGTGACTCGAGCTCACGGATACCCTTAGTGGCAGCCCATCCGTCAGCTATTGGCATCTGTAGGTCAAGAAACACGCAAACCAATTGCGTGCGCTCCTGGTTGTACACGTCAATGCATTGAAGGCCATTCTCTGCCTCCAGCACCTCAAACCCGAGCTGCGGGTTGAGCAGGGGCAAACCAGCGAAAGAGAACATAGGGTAAGAATTACAGCAAGCGACCTCAAACCCATAACAATACAAAGAATTGTTTATTCTGTACACGAATCAATTGCCAGGTATAATGCAAATTGTTAACACTGCTGTTTCGGAGTTCACCGACAGTATGCGTAGGCCAACGACCGACTGACCAGAAGGGAAGGGAGAGAGTCACCCTGAGACATACCTTTTGAAGAATTGTGCTGAGGATAAGGCGATTCACGGCCAGGTCGTCCACCACAAGTGCCTTCTGCGGCCGCGCCATACAGGAGCCTTCTCAGGAGCTTGGCCAGGAGTTTGGCCAGCGCAAATTTCAGGGACTCCCAAGCTTAATGAAACCCTATGTTGTTAAATGTGGGGAATCCGCCTTTGGCTTCAGGGAACAGCGAGAATAGAGCCTTTCGCGCGTTGATTGAGTATATTTCAGAAGTGCAGAAAGGCTCAGTAAGAAGCTGCTATTCGAGCTTATATATGCGTCGCAATGTTAGGAAATGGACGTGGGCTGGTGCTGGTAAGAATATAGATGGGTCAATCGCCTGATTGCGGGAATCGTTGATTCCCAAAATCCCGATAATCGTACTGTGTTTGACTAAAGCGACTTCCAGACGTGCTTTGGGATGGGATTCCAATATGCACCAATAGTTGTTTGTTTATATTGTATCTTGTCAATAGGGTTTCCCTGTGCCGAGAAAGCCGAAACGGCTTACGAAGCCGCCGGCCGCCCATGGAGTAGCTTCGCCGTGGCTCGATGTTAATAATGTTTAAGGCAACAAAAAAATGTTATGCTTTTTATTATTTTTGGCTGGTCCTTCCAGTCTGGTTGGCAGACCGTTAGTGATCCGCTGGCACTTTGCGCCAGCTCGTTGAAGCACGGGGATTTCGTGGCTTCAGCGCTGCGGACAGTTGCCACCTGTACGCAAACAGCTGTACGCAACCGCATCTCGCCAGAACGTCCTTGCAAGCAAGCCTATCTTTATGAAACCAGCGACTAACAGGGGCTGACTGCTGCGTTGCAACTAACGTTAAGGAGTAATCTCCAGGCCCTGTTATTCCAAAGATCCATGGCGCCTTAAATATCCGTCACTTGAGCTTATTTGTTTTTCTCATCTAAAGTCATTAGATAATTGCAAATACCTGATTGAAAAGAAAATCTGCAGCTTAGTCAGGCCACCCGCAGCCGTTGCGCTCGAAACCTTGCAGCCTTCTCTTCCAGAGAAAAGCTGCTGCAGGCATACTGCGCTAATGCGCAGCTTCCGCCTTACAGTCTTCCTGTTTCTTTTGGCACCTCATCCAAATACTCCTCCCCAAACGGCTTTTCCCTCTTTCGCGTCATGTATTCGCCGTGAAGTCCCACTGGGTTCCCTTCTACTCTTTTCTTTAATCCTCAATTGCATTCTTTCCGCACAGCGTTCACTCCCCCGCGCTGCCAGACCCCATGCCGTGGACGAGCACCGACTAGGTGGCGACATGTCATCCCTACCCTGCCAAACACGACCCAACCCAACCCAGCCCGACCCGCTTTCATCTTCATCTGGTGCTGCCCCTAGCCGTTCGGAACGGAGTTTACACTGAGGGAAGGGGAACCACGCTAGCGGGCAAAACCGCTGCATGACCTGACTGCCAACTGCCAACTACCAACTGCCAACAACCGTTTTTAGTCTGTTCTGAGTTGTTGTCTGAGTTCTGGCGCTCGGAAACCCGAAGCAAATCCTAGGCGGATTGTAAGGCAGGCTAGGCACATGGCATTACCGAGTATTAGGCCCACTTCAAATGGGGTACGGCCGCTACCAGAACCCCACCGCTATCGCCACTGTGACGCTGCTTTTTGCTCAAATGTTCACCTCCCTCCCTCCTCACACGCGCACCGCCACCTCTTGACCCCAAACGAGGTGACCAGGGGGGTGGGTGGGACCCCATTACGACACCACCATCACATCCAATATTACCACCGCCACCACCACCACCACTATCGTACACTACTACCGAACTAGGTAGCCAGCTTTTTCGAGGCCGAAAAGGGCCCTCGGCCCCGGTACATCAGCCAGCAGTCACCCCGCAGTATTCCGCAGGGGAGCACTGCGCTGCAAGTAGAGGAAGTGGAGGAGCGTCTTGTTTCGACTAAACGCGCATTAATATGGATAGCTGCCAGGGCCGGGTGCGCGCGGCTGGCGGCGTTGGAGTGATATATGAATCTGGTGTGTATACACTTGCTAAGGCACCAATGCAAATCCATGGATCGGTGCATTGCTCTGTGAATTGCTCTGAAACTGTTCTACAAAGCACTTTAGAGCATTTAAACATAGGCCTTCCTTTTTAGAGAGTACTATCTAAAGTATAATAGGTATACTCGAACAACGGACAAAAGCTATGCTAGGGATAACAACTTAATACGCCCTTAGAGTTCCTATCGATGGCCGTGCGAACGTAGGAACCTCGATGTTGGATCATCGCGTCCTGTGGCTAAAGAAAGTCGTAAGGGTTGAATTGTTCGCCTCCTTCCTTAACAAGAACGGCCGAGCAACCATAACCCCCTGGTAGTGCGTGAAACCAGCACATTGCCGGTCAGACTGGGGAACAGGACATGTATGAGATGTGCGTGAGATGGAGCAGGAGGCAAGGAGGAAGGTGCTGGAGCCGTTGGAGGCATGGATGGTCTGCTGGAGTTGCGGAGTGTGGCGATGAGGTGAGCCATAAGCAGCTATTCCAGGGAAGTCCAAGGAAAGAGCGAGAAATAAGTCAACGACGCGTCGTTGAGGAGGACGTGCCCTGGTGAAATCCAGAGCAGTGGACTTCAAGTCAAGACCGAGACTTGGTCCAGCCAAAAGGCAAGGGCGTCAAACATGAGAGTCTCCTGCTTGTACGGCAGGCACCTTCTTAGGGTTATGTCCGGAAGAGTTTGCCTACTGCAGGATTCTTCAATTCGTTTCATTTCGCGTCTCATTGGCCATTCCTTAATTGTATTACCCAGCAGCCCTTCCTTGCGAATGTCGATTCCCCGGAAGAGTGAGATGTAACGCATATGTCCTACGTATGGCACAGACATATGCGGCATGTGCGCGTCCATTTCGTCTCCAGCTTTGCCATCTTGGTCAATCAAGGAACTTTATCCATAGCACAGCTTATACAGCCTTTGTGGTGTGTGTGTTCTATGCCTGACGGCGAAAGTCCTTTGGGGTCTTCATTCCAAAAAAATCATATTTGGCCTTCGATTTGGGTTGTGGAATAATGGTCTAAAATGAAGGGCCGCAATGAATGTGAATCGAACGTGGAATGCAGGCTCCGGGTTCCCAAAGTGTGTGGTAATGCAACTTATCAAAGAGGCAGCAACATAGCTGGGGAGAAATAGGAGGCCGAGGTGTGACCTGGAAAATATATCGGGTTGGAAGAAGTAAAATATTTATGCGTTTTGACCTTGTATTCTGACCATATTTTGGCCATGGACCGTGGACCAAGTTTGACCGGTTTTTACCTCCGTTCCCTTCGGCCCTCGAGGGAACTTGATCACCAAGTAGCATGTTTACTTTTGGCAACACACACATACATGTACATACATAAACATATAGCAACAAACACATATAAGCTTACGCACGGTATTCCTGAAGAGGTTAGAAGCGGGGAAGATCTTCCCTGTGACCTCTCGAGGTCGATATCCATACCAACTGGACGCCGGGATAATTCGAATAATCCAATCGACTGTAATTACTGCTAATTACTGCTGTCTAATCACAAGCAATTTTAAGTAATTCGGTGCGAGCCGGATTAGATCATTAGACAAATTAGTTGGGGGTTTTAGCCACCCAGGCCGTGGAGGGGTGCCATGTTCGGCTTTGCTGACCATTCTAGACAAACTTCTTTGGAGCTAAGTGTTATATCAGACTTCAGAAAAGTACCGATCGGCGGATGCAGATCTCCCGTGATATGCGCTCCAGGATACACTACACTAAAGTCCCCTGAGGACGGGGGCGGACAGGGTGCTTGAAGTGCAAGTTCGCTGCATTTGCTCCATTTGCTCTTTTCTAGTATCCTGGGTACCACGGGATCCGACACCCGCCGATCGGCTCATTTCTGGAAAAGACGTGATACAACATCTTTTATGGCTGTGAGACCTGATGCCCTAACCACCAAGTGCCCTGACAGCCCATAATGATTTTGCGGAGGGTCTTCTCGAAAGCTGCCGGTGGTGAAGCTTCTGGTAATGTTCAACTAGTACTCCCCGGGTACATCAAGGACACGTGCAATCGGTACTGCTAAAGCGTTTAGGTAAAGATCTGGGTTCAAACTCCTTTAATAACCTGCGTGAATTCTGCACCCTTCTGCTCCGCAGTGATCGATCGGTTTTACCCCGGCATCCGGGGCAAACCCGGACTCCTCAGTTCTCATCCTGTCGGCTCTTGTTGCCTATTAAGAAACCCCTGTTGATCAGGTTAGCATGTCTAATGCTTAAGGAGGCTTAAGTCGCTCTCCTTAATCGCGTAACGATTTGGCACCCATTTGGAGTGGACTCTATCCTCTTTCACATGGTATCTGCTAGGCGATCCTCATTGCCTGTACGGCGACCTGTTTACATTAACTGTCCTGCGTAGTTGGCCAGTTGGTAGAGCTTCACTCAGCGAGGAACTCCTCTGCTGCTGAAGATAAGCTCACGTAATTGCAGACTATAAGGGATAATAAGCACACCCGCCATATGCAGAGGCAACAAAAGACTAGCCGCCTGTCGCCAATGCGCCGGGATATCAGCTAAGAGAGCGACAACAGCACCCGTACATTCCTGCCATTTACGAAAGGTGCACAGGGATTTAGCTAGTGGGGTCCACGGTTGGAGGTATTGGTCCACTATTTGATGCCAAGCCTTGCGTATTGCTAGGCCTGCCTGGTCCGTTGCATGCATAACTCCATCCAAAGCATCGCGCGCACAAAGAACATCCCCCAACGTAATTAATGCTTTACAGCCCAGGAGTGCTTGGTGTCGAAATTCCAGTCCCGGGCGGATGCTATCTGACGGGACATTCAACCTCATTTCTGGAAGAACAGGGTTCCCCGCAGAGGCAAATTCCAACACCACGCATTAGGAACTAACGTGTGAACATCAACATCTTCAACTGGGGGGAGGTATGCCAATGCTGTGACAATGCGCTGAACATCTGGCGGTAAAACGATTAATCCAAACCAAGGCACTCCCACCTGGGACTTAAATAGACACATAGGATTGTACCTCAGGAAAGAGTGCATGACCAACACCCATGGCGGACGTACTAAGACTGGTTG